ACATACAAGTTTTTTGGGCTTTTGGAGAAAAAAAAACTTATGAGATAAAAATATTTACCCTTCAAGTATTATTGTCAGGTAGTTGTCTTGCAATCTCAGAATATTTCAAAGGTCAAGATGTCCAAAATTTTTTTTTTTCAATAGCTTCAAAACGTTGTGAGGTATAAAGTCAAAACTTTTACAGTGTATAAATAAACCACAAAAAGTATCACTACAAAACACATATTTTATAAAAATATATTTTTTGAGCATTTTTTCGATAAATATCTGTTTCTAAGTATTTGTTATCAAGTGATACATTCTGTCTGTTAATCAATGATTTATTTATAAATTGTAAAAGATTTTACTTTATGATCCACAGTTTTGGAGCTATTGTAAAAATAATTTATTTGACATTTAACAAACCCTTAAGTTGTTTTAACCTTGAAACGTTAATTATTGTTTTCATGGTGTTTTATCATTAAATTTTCAATGCTGTCTTAATATTTGTCTTTTCTGAATTTACTTTCAGTTTACCTGCTGAACATCAAGAAAACAGAGAATGATTTGGTCATACAAAAATTACACTGTCGTTTAAAAAAAAATGAATTTTGACATAAATGTGCATAAAAACTAACATATAATTTAACCATAAATATGGTATACAAGTACCTTGCTGAATGTTAGGTACAGTACGGGCAACCCGTAAAAGACAGGAACACAATTTGGAGTTCATATATTCGTAGCGCTGTAAGTTTTGTCATACCGTCCCTAATTTTGATGACTCGGATCATCTTAAAATCCGAAAGCAAAATGCTTATACAACTGTATTTCTTTGAGTTTTAGTGTTTGATGAACAGCTTTTGTAAATTTGCAATATTTTTTTGATGGTTTAATATATTAATAAAAAGATTCTTAAAATGCAGTACGCCTCTAATTTAGGTGTTTCAAACTTACCTGTTACCGCAGTCGTCGGTCTGTGTGTGCATGTGTGTGGTGGTGGTGGTGGGGGGGGGGTTAAATGCTCCTCTAATTCAGGTGTTTTAAACTTACCTGTAACCGCAGTGTTCGATCAGTAAAGGGGGTGTTCCTCAGGTACTTCTTTCATTCAGGTGTTTCAGACTTACCTGTAACCGCAGTGGTCGATCAGTAGGGGGAGGTTCCTCAGGTATTCCCGACAGGCGTGGGAGGGGTACAGTTTGTTCAACTCTCGAAAAACGACACCCCTAAGTAAATGGAAACATTTCAATATTCATTCATCAACTGGCTCCCATCTTCAATGAGGATGCAATGCATTACAATATACGATGAGGAAATCCTTCTTAGAAAGACATTTTCGGGATGTGAAGGGGTTCTGAGGGGTAATGACTCTGCCTACTTTTAACACTACTATGTAAGAGTATATACTTTGTTAAGATAAAGGATACCACAGAGTCTGACATATCTGTTTCATATATGGATATTTTACTTGAAAAAGACGTTAATGGTAATCTAACAACCAATCTATGATAAACATGATGACTTTAATATGATTACCTTCATCGCCTGCATACGGATTTTACGGAGTTTATGTATCTCAGTTGATCCGATACGCATAGCTCTATGTATGAACAATCTCTTAAACGAGGTGAATTGTTGACAAACAAGCTGATTAAACAAGAATATCAGCAGTCTCGTTTAAAGTCATCATTTCATAAGTTCTATGGTCGATACAATGACCTTGTTAGCAAATACAATTTATCATTGCTGACTGACGTTTTTCATACTAATTGTTAGTTCATTATCTACAAACTGAATTGACGACGGATTTTTTCGTTATTTTCATATCATATGACTAGGAGTAGACGGCGGGTGTAACCGGTCAGCAGGGGATGCTCACTCTTCCATGGCACATGATCACACCTTTTGTTTTTGGAGTTCCGTGTTTGCTCTGCTCCTGTTTTGTATTGTTTTATGGACTTGAATACTGTTCGTTATCTCCATATGTTTCATTCCTAAGTTATAATCTTTGAGAAATAAATTGCTGTTCGTTCTATTCAGGTTTGTTCAGTAATTTATCTTTTTTACAGTTATACACTCAAAAGATTGTACGTATAGAACTGATGATACGAATTTGTTCCGAATAAGATAAAAAAAACATTGTGTAAAAATATTGATATTGGTGTTGCATTATCAGATTTTGTGACGTTTCTAGCCGCTTTCTACGTGTACTCACCAGGTGTCGATTTCCTCCCGAGTGTAGTCCACTCGAGGAATGGGCTGTCCACTAGAAAAGGAATCGGAGTCTAATGTTAGAAATTAATCTGTAGAATATGTTCAGACATATTTATGTAAAAGGTTATTTCAAGATAATTGTAAAAAGCAGAATTTACAGACGCTGTACATTTAAACTTGTTTTCTTACAAATATCAGTTTATTCATGCAATTGTGCCTATTTGCGAATGTAATACTTTATGTATATATGAATCAAAAGAAGAAATACACGTACAGTCGGTAAAAAATGAGTGAATTATAAGAAACACATTTTTTTTTATAATTTCGTTGACTAATTCCCAATCTGTATGCAATATGCTGATGTTTGCATATTGTGTTCAGATAACCTATAAAACAATGACTCCTAGTATCGTCATTAATCTAGATACCAGTAAGATATGCAATCAGAGACAACTGCAGGCTCGGCAAATCTTACTGAAGATTCAAGGACAAGAACGCAATTCATTCATGAAAGGATTCATTTAATGTCAAAGGAAATAATGAAAGTAACATTTGAACTATTTGAGTTGTGAATCTTGTTGTTTTGCATAACAGAGTGCGTTTTTTCTGGTGTAACAGCACGTCCACCATAGCGGCCAATCTTATTATAGACAATAAATAAACATAAGTATTTAGCAGGGTATTAACCTAGCCACGAACAGGACTACTGCGTGCTCGGGCACCCTGTATCGACCGTCCGCCTGCTTCGCAGAACCTCAATCCCCCCAAAATTATTGTATACAGAAATCAAAAAGAATAAATTCCACATTCTGATATCTGCATTAAAGATACAATTAGGGGGTCTTAGCAATTCAAAGACTACAGACAAAAGGTGAAGATAGACGCTTTGTCATGTGGAAGTGTTCTGTCATCAGCAGACGACAATATATGACGTCAGACGAAAAATGGCCACCGTATTATTCATCATATACTCACTGTTTATAGGCCATTGCAATATCAGCGAAAATCTTCCTTCTTTGACGGTAAATCTTGTCTTTGAATCCCTATCGTAAATTTAAAAATGTAATGTTTTTTAATTGTATTATTTAAAGCTATACATTGAACATGAGAATCAGAACACAATTTAAGTTTTGTTGCCTTACTGGATGATCGGCGTCTAACTCAGAGCCGTACATAAGCACACGATTGGCAGCTTTGTCCAGGTCTGACATCTTCCTTGGGAACCATGGCGCACTGGCTAAAGCTTCCGCTTTAGAAATAATTTGATTAGGTTATTCGAATAGAAGAGATACAATATATGTAGCAATATGATGTATTTTTTATTATCATATTTCAATGGAATCAAGTTAGTTATAAAAGCTTTTTGGGAATAGTTTAACTAGAGGGAACAGTCACCAGCAAACACATTGGTTATAACCAAAATAAGAAAAAAATAAACAACAGGAAGTTTGTGTAATGATTTATCTGTACAGAGAATTTGGATCCATGGCATATGACTTACCAGTGGAAAGAAGAACTATGTAAACCTAACTCAACTGCTGAAGGTAGAATAGCTGTGGCTAAACCTGAATGACGTTGACCCAGCTACCTTTGGCTTTTTTAACTTACATGAGTAAATCTACCTGTCATATATCTTACCTGAGTGGATCTACCTGTTTTATCTTACCTGTGGCAGGTACCCTAGCGGCGGTGGCGGGGGACGGCGGGACGGGAATGTCGTTATAGGAGATCCCGGCCACCTGTTTTATCTTACCTGTGGCTGGTACCCTAGCGGCTGTGGCGGGGGACGGCGGGACGGGAATGTCGTTATAGGAGATCCCGGCCACCTGTTTCTTCAGACGTTTGATAAGCTCCTGTAACCGGATGTTGTCCGTCTCCAGCTCCACGTAAATTTCCGCTTCCGATTCGTTCTTCTGGGATTTCCGAGATTCTATATGTACCACGTTAATGTGGTTGTCCTACAAATAAACAGGCATGATTTCCTCGCCAGTAATTTACACTAATTAGTTTGCTTGAATAACAATATCCTGAACATCAGTAAAAAGCACTTATCTAAAAGAAGAATACAAACTCCTCTTTTTCAGTGTCTAAACCTCATTTAAATATTTTAGATTGTATATGTTTATTTGCTCTTTTGCATCTAGATAAAACACAGTCCTATATGTAGCTTTAGAGGATGACAAACATAGTGTTTGAGGAGTTTTCACCTGGAATATTTTGAGAGCGTTTGCCAGGTTCCCCACTCTATTCTGAAGCGTAAACACAACGGAAGTGGTCTTCCCTATACCGGAAGGACTAAAAATTCCGTCCAACTGCTTCAGGTTCTCCTGTAAAACAAAAAAGGTTAACGAGTCAGGTCAAGATCACAATGTGGTCAAAGTAAAAGTGAAAAAAAATTAAAGGGATTGCTTCAAAATTAGAAAGAGAATCAGGCTGATTTGCGTGCTCAATGTGGTGAATTCAAGATAATTTTTAAGTAGATAGAGATTAATCATTACATCATTTGAACATCATGTACTTATTTTGCAATATTATGTATGAAATTTTCATTTAAAAGTCAACGAGGTACATTTTAAAAACTTATATTTTAAGTCAAATTTGATCAAGACATTGGGGGAAAATGACTCATAATGTTCAGTGTGACAATATAATAAACAAGATGATACAACACACACTATCAATAACTCATTTCCCTAAATTACTCAGAAATCGTCAGTTTGGTACTGATGTACGTAAACAAAACATTCTGTAGGAACTTTAAAATAAATCAAGGATATTGCTATCTTAAACGTTGTAAATTATGATATACACATTATGTATATATATATAGATACATGTAGACATAGATAAGTAGAAGTCTCGCTCCCAGTTTACGGTCTGATTCAAGAATTCGACAAAAGTGAACTGCCGTCAGTTTGTTGTTTCACCTAGTAAGAGGAACGTCCGTATTGTGTCAAACACTGCAAACTTCGCTTGTCATTTGATTACAAGCGCTCAAAACAGAACAGGTAAGGGCGTTTTGAAATATCTTTTTAAAAAAAGAAACTTTCGACTTAAAATATGTTAACTTTATTGAATTATAAAAATACTTTAAGAGTTTTTACAATACAAAGGTTGAATTTTCAAATGCCAATTTACAATCCATTAAACAAAATTATAAAAAAGATCTACGGCTGGGGGTTATCGCGTCGAGCTGACATATTGTGGGAGATGCAGGTATTTGATAATTACCTCAAATGATAAAGTTGTCTAAAAATGCAGGTACAATGTGGATGAAGTTTATAATGATTCTTATATTTTAATAAAATTGATTTTCTGAAACCTGCTAGAGTAAGCTTTACATCAAACAAAATTTACGCAGTTCATGATCATATGTGGATGATGCATGTGTGTAAGAACTGACATCGGTACTGATTATAACGCTCTGATTGATAGAACAAACCGTACCAATAATTACCACGGGTAGCATGTGAATATGTAAGTTAATTACCACATGTCAAGTATATAGCACAAACCGTACCAATAATTACCACAGGTACCCATCGGTACTGATTATATATAACGCTTTGATTGAACCAATAATTACCAAAGGTAGAACAAACCGTACCAATAATTACCACAGGTAGAACAAACCGTACCAATAATTACCACGGGTAGCACTAACCGTACCAATATTTACCACGGGTAGCACAAACCGTACCAATAATTACCACATGTCAAGTATATAGCACAAACCGTACCAATAATTACCACAAAAAATAAAAAAGGTATATCTATTATATTGCCCAACCCGTCCCAATAATTACTACAGGTAACACAAACCGCACCAATAATTACCACAGGTAGGACGAACCGTACTATAAATACCGTAGGTAGCACAAACCGTACTTATAATTACCACAGTAACACAAACCGTGCCAATAATTACCATGGCTAGGACAAACCGCGCCAATAATCACCATAAGTAGCACAAAACGTTATAATTATTTCCATATGTAGCATAAATTGTACTATAATATTAACCATAGGTACTTGAACTTGCAATTAAAAGGGAATATATCTTAGACAATAAAAACAGTAAAGATTCAATTTATATCAGCTAAATCGGTTCTATACACTTTTAATAATCAACTAGCGTCTCGATGTTCTCTGTCGTCAATTGTTTTAATCATATGTCATGTCAAAACGAACTGAAAACACTTAAGCACTCTTCTGCATCCTGTCTTGCTCGTTTATATCCTAACATGCCTAAGGCTGTAATAAAAAAAAAATTGAAAGATGGTTTCCTTTAATTGACTATGACTTTTTTTTATTTTAAACAACTTGAGAACCTGAATGCTTTTAAAATAACAGCGGAATATTGCGCATGACAATAATTGATCGGAATTGATAAGAATTTCTACGAATTTGTCCGTACATTGTACGCGGAAATTGTCAACCATTAATACATGATTGAAGTAAAAGTAAGCAATGACCAGACGTTAGAAGTGTAATGTGTTCATCAATTAACATGTGGATTGCTTTCTTCAATAATGTCAAATTGCGAGCGTATGAACGGACTAAATAACTTCAGTACAAAAGTGTAAATTTTCTCCATATCGTAACCAGTTTTGAAATATTCATACAATGTAACAAAGGTTAAAAGCAGATTATAAACGTACACTTTGTTATATACTATATGAAAATTAAATAACAATTGTAATTTATAATTTTTACTCACTTGATACGTACGAAAAACATTTTTTCAACATGCAGTAAAATCGGTATGGTATGTCGACCGCTTCTGTACATTATAAATACAGTACCATATACGTTTACATGTACATAGGCTGTATGACGCTTTTATTGATCATCAGAAAATGTTTAATTAAACTTACTTTTATAAAATATGGAAATTTAAGAAATTAAAGCTCATGTTTTCTGAATTCATGTTCATATTCTATCAGGCATGGAATTTTTCAGTGGAATAAACAGAAAATGCATGTAAAGTAAAATCACACATTTAATGAAATGTGATTTTCTAAGGTTTTTCTTAACAAAATGTTCGAAACTTTAATCGGGCGATGGCTAAGGGCTGAAGTCTTGATGAACAATTTTGTGTAAATTCAGTTTTTGTAAGAAATCTCACTGACTCATTTACAATTAAACAGTTGAAGTGGAAATTAAATACTCTTAACAATGGCACCAATCTACTTAGTACTTAAAGTATGCAAAACTGCCTGAAAGACAAGTCATATTAACAGACTCTTAGCACCATGTCTCTTATTCATTAAGGACTACGAAAGGTCTAATGCATAAGTGCAATCCTCAAGGTCATACGTGTATCACTATGTAATTAAACATAAAGATCATTGTTGTTTTTTTCTCAAGTTCTTTCTTCTGCAATGCTGTCATGATTGTTTTTCAACAAAATTTGAAGTCAAACTTCATCATTTTATACTTGTTTTGTGTTTATTTTTCCGTTTTCGGCAAAACGTTTGTTAAAAATAGCGTTGTCCTTCTCATCACTAAAAGCTATAGAACTGTAGTAGAATTCTTTGGAATGCAATATTTTCTCATTTATATTTTGTCTGAGTTGAACTTGCAAGTGCTTTGTTTCAAAATTTACACTGCCAAGTTCTCAATTTCGACAAAAAAGTATAGTACATTATTTGCTTGAGAACGTTATGGTACTGAATTATACTGACTGTCAGTATTTATGTCAAATTGAGCACACAAAAACGTGCCGATACCTGTACATAATGCATATCAGTAGTTCAATACATGTCCTTCGCTTTTGCTTTCAGTCGGAATTGATGGAAAGGGTTTGATTCTGCAAAATCAGCGGCACATCAGGCTACAGTGGACATTTTACTCCTTATGTGAGATAAACAGTTAATGTAAATCCCATATATGGATTACACATATCGTCGTTTATCGCACATTAAGTCCGTAATTTATCTGATCATAATGGGCTAATTAACACAGAATATTAATAAACACAAACAAAGGTTTGACCGTTTCTGAGGCTGGCTCCCGCAGGCTATTGGTGCTATCATTATCACATAGGAATTATTACCGACAGAATGAAGAAATTTCAATGAGGGGTTTAGTGGGTTTTTTTTTATCATATTGAGAAATATTTTTTATTTCAAAATAAAATCTATTTTATCCATTTCATCTGTACTACTTCCAACTCTATTATTTAGGCAATGGAATCCCAGAACAAGTCTCATACTGAAATCCTTTCTTTGAAGAATATATATAATTTTATAATGATAAAAATTATAATACGATTTTGCCAAAAATGCTATTCAAAGAATATCTGCATTGAGAGATACTCGGCGACTGCTAGGGCGAAATAAAAATATTTTTAATTCTTACCTCTAGATTAGCTATTTCCGCCTCCGTAGGTGCACGGATGCTCTTGCATCTTCTTTTTTGCCGGAACTGCTCCATTTTACAGATGTCTCTTTTCTCTTCCGGATTTTCCAGATCCGGTCCACAAATTGAGGAATTGCGCATGGCAATTTTATAAGCTTCGATGCAGTTCCCCAGTTTTGCTATTGTAAATTCCCTCGATTTTCCAAATTCTTTTTTTTTTCTTCAAATAAAAACCGTCTTAATTTTTTTGTTTGTTTTATATATAATTTTTTATCAATTTTCCCGGGATAAATCTTAATTTTCAACTGTATTCCATCCTACCGAGAAGCACAATAAAGACAGATTGTCAGGGAAAAGGAAATTCCACAGCTATTTTATGCAAATGGTCGAATGTCGTTTACTTTTTTCCCGGCTTATGAATATTTATAGCTACCGTCCACCATCTGAGACAGTTCCACTGATTAGCCGTGGTGCAGCTGCCGGAATTATAAAGCCCGCATCCGATTCAATTCTATTTCGTCATCCTCCAAGTACGCCTGCTACCTGTCACAAACCCTGTTGTGTCCATTCCGTGTGTGACGTCACGGTTAGGTAATGAATATGCATTGATACGTGGTGAATGGAAATACATAAGTCAACCAAACTGATAATTAATACATAAAATCGGAAATGAATCACTTTACAATATCCAATGTTTTAACAAAAACGTACAACAATATAGGGGCACCGCATTCAAAACATAATGCTGAAACCCGCATTCAAACGTCATGCTTTGTAAATAGACGATAATGCATAAACTCTGCAGAATCGGTGTGAAATATCATAAGCATTGTTCTAAAGATTGTTATAAAAACGAAATAAGTTATTTCTTTATTGTCTGTATCTAACAAAACTGTCGATTCTTCTCGCTACATCTACAACATGCAAACTTCTGAAATACATGTATGTAATACTATACTAGTGGACAATATACACAAATGACAATTCGATTAATTTATTTATTCCACCTATTTTCAGTGTTATGAAATAATGATCTGGAAGGAAAAAGACTCCCAGTGGCCTCTGGTATTATACACATATTAACACATTAGAAACATTTGCGTAAATCTCAGGCCACAATGGGGGAAATGGCAGCAATGTCTTCTGAAACAATAAAATTTAGGGCACTTTGGTTGGATAATCATATTTCTTACGTCAATTATGACGCAATATAAGATTTTTTTTAAAAAAAGAGAGTGTAAATTCAAATTTAATACAATCCGTACTTTGGATGTAACCGCTATCATATGCATGTACTGCAAATTGATAAAAAGTGTTAATTAGGAATTTGATCGGTAAAATAAAAATTCGAATTGCAATGACGTTCTCTCCAAACTTCTTGATTAATATCATAATACCTCGTTCTTTCTTGGAATTCTGTTTAATTTTATAATTACTCAGTTTGTACCTACTTGCGTATTCATTGCATTTTGCTCGAAATGGCAACTACGTAAATGAGGGGCTTATCTTCCTAAAATGCTTTCCATCTTATCGAATCTAGATCAGAAGAGAAAACTTCTGATTGGTTGAGGGAAGCGAGGGGTTGATGGGATTGATTTTTGAAATGTCTGTTTTAAGCAATCTATCAGCAAACGAGGCTCATGAGAGATTGTTGAATGAATGCCTCTTACGTCGATTTCGGCGACTAGTCACTCCCACCTCCAAACAAGTGTTTATTTCGCTGCAATAATCTACAGTCAAGATTGCTCTAATCTACAGACTTCAAGCTTAATTTTCTTAGATGTATACAAAAAGAAAGTTTATTATAGGCTTTGTAACTGACCTTTGACCCTAGGGTTTACACAAAGCAGCTCTTCCTTAGATTTTGCCTACCTCAAAAATTACTTTATATTTTCTAATTTGATTTTTTCTGTTAAGTTCGTAATTATTAATGAAGGAGGTTGTAGAATCATACTTTTGGGATTGGGTTTTTGCTTTATTTATCTATTGTCAAGTAAACGAACACCCAAAACATTGAAATTGATCTCTTTTAGGTCATATAGATTTGAAATAAAATTTTGCCAGATTTGCATTTTATAATCAGTACCACCTACGCCAATCTACAGATGGTATGGTCGCTTATCCTGGCAGTGAACTCAAGATCTAATTGTCACGCACGTACTACTGTCCCATAGTCAACAAGTCTTTTATGATTAAAAATGTATCCACACATGCATTATTCCTGATACATGTAGTATGTATGTAAAGTAACACCTTTCACTGTTGGCAACGAAAATGTAGTGTTACTCATCGACAATAAAAAATGTTCATGTGATCAAGGTTTGTGCTGAATTATCCGCTAACCGTACACTTTTTCTATGACATGCATGTAACCTTACCCGAGTCCTTTTCTCAATTAACCTTTGATTATATGGAAAAACACTTAATAAAATATGACAATGTTATACTGAGGTTTCATTTTAATAACATCCATATCTATTGTCCACAACTTCCGATTTTTGGACGGGATTGAGAATTAATAATTGAATTTTAATAGGTATCCGCCCCAACTAATGATTGTGTATTAATATTGATAATTGGAAGATGAAATTTAGAAGTTTATACTTTGTAATCAATTAGAAATGAGCAACAGTGGTGTTTAATGACATGAATATAAAGACGCGGTTATGGTATTTTTGTGTTTACACAGTATCTCGGATTTTATTCCGTTTTGATTGCTGGTTTTAAGTTTTACAATTTATCCAAGATTATTTGTTTTTCTTGATAAAATTCCATGAAATAGCAATGAGTGCAATTCAACGTTAAGGCAAAAGAACAATGCTAAATTTCTACTGATATGTGGATTAAATAGGATAATTCCTCTTGCCTGTCATTCATTATAGTTTTATTATTACAGTATATTGTATAGGACGGTTAACAAATATTATTTATTAAAAAACCTTTATCGAAAAAAAAAGTGAATTGGATTGGGCATCGGGCAAATTCTAGTTTAGCCGTATCCACAAAAATGGTTTAAAAGCTCTGGGCTGTTAATATTTCCTTTGGTTGTACCCTCAAAACGCAATGGTAGATTAGGTTTTCATAAAGATTGAAACACAAACTTGCAATTAACTAAAAAGGGGGGAGTTGTAAAAATGCAAAATATATTTTGTCATATTTGTAGAAGTTTTTATCTTCATTTTTTTTTCTTTGCTATACACTAGGATTTTTGACGATATATATCAGAGCTATGGAGCTATTTAATACTGGTACATTGTCAAATCTAAGTAGAACACTGTAACTCGATGCTGCTGGCCTTGAAAAGAAAAAAGTCATCTGACTTAAGATTATAGTGTATTGCGTTATCAGCTCACATGCCTGACGATTTTTGTTCAGATAATAGGAAAAAACCGGTCGCCTGATACATAAACAAGTTTAAAGTCTGTGTCTGTCTGTCTGTGTGTCTGTGTTAATATTCCTCTTACAGTGCATTATATTGTTTCAGACCGAAGAAATAATTCACCATGGCAACCAGAGACAAGGCTGCAGAACAACTGAATGAGTTTAAATCGTCACAGAAGGTAAGTACACGTGTACGCCAAAAATCAGGTCATAGAACTAGGTCTCTTTTTACGATACTGATACATTTGTGCTGTAAAAAGTTGTGCGGGCCGACAATATGTTTTGAAAAAACCGTTCTTTACTTATGTTGTACCAGGTACATTCAAGTAGTTCTTCAGATCGTTTATAAAGTAATATACTTACAATTTGCGAGGATATAAAGTACAATTGTTGAAATTCTCTGAGTAAAATCCATCCTAAATAAAAATTTACACCAAAGTATTTCATTTAAGTAAAGACATTTTTAAAAATTATTTTTAATACTCAAAAATTATTAATAAAAGTACATAAGAGTCGATGTTTTGCATTTGGATTTGCGTTTTATATACCTTCTTGAAGTGTAGGTTGAAAATTTAAAATTCTTGCATTAATTGGTGTCGAATTTTAAAAGAATCTATAAAATATACATATGAACATGTAATTCTTTGATTCCATATTATCTGGTTAGCAATATCTGACACCATTCTTGAGACCCATTTGGTTATATATCTTATGTCAATTATGCCATTATCGTATCTTTACATTTGATGTAACTTGTTGTTCCTCTCAGGTACAAACTTGATTTTATTTGTGTCTTAACTTTTGATGTTGATGTATTTAACTTAGGTTACTTTTGTACATTTTTTATATCAATTGCTTTTGATTCACTGTCCTTTATTTCTCATTTCAATAAATGACCATTTTTATTCTTAAAAGAAGAGTTATTTTCTTATTTGATTGTGGTCGGAAATGCATGAAGATATCAATATTGTTCAAGAAAAGTAAAGAAAACATTTTCAGCTCATTCAAGTGATAAAACGTTTGTGTTACATTTAGCAGAGTCCAAAACTGATGTTTTACTTTGTTAGGACCAAGTTCTGCTTGTGAGACACAGGAACTGTTTCCTCTATCTGACCCTATAGAACTGTTTGTTGATTTGACTTTAACAGACCCAGACTTTCTGTTCTCTCTTTGTCAGACCCCGGAACAATGCACCACGGGAACAGGTGCCCCCATTGGTCTGAAGACGGCCACCATGACAGTGGGTCCACAGGGACCTGTCCTTATCCAGGACTTTGTATTTAATGACGAGATGGCGCACTTCGACAGAGAGAGAATTCCCGAGAGGGTCGTACACGCCAAGGGCGCAGGTCAGGGGTCATACTGACGCAGCATACATGTATATTAAAGTGAAATATAATCATGTCCTCCGGATATTATATACTGGACGTGTTACTTATACATGAAACATTTGTGTTTTGATTGTAGGTGCTTTCGGTTACTTTGAATGTACCAATGACATTTCCAAGTACACAAAGGCTAAACCATTTGAATCAGTCGGCAAAAGGACACCGGTGGGAGTCCGCTTCTCTACAGTGGGTAAGATGGTGCATTAATCACCGGTCCATTATTTTATTCATCAACCTCAAGCGTGTTAAATATGCAGAAAATATTCCAAAACGATATTTTTCACATCCAGAAGTTTGGAATTTAACCTGATAATTTGCCTTAATTCTTATTACAGTAAAACTTGTTTCGTATGAACACGGATATTTCGAATTCACGGATAAAGCGAAGTTATCTTGGATCCCCAGCTAAATAAGTTTAACGAATTCCAAGGTCTTTTACGAATCTAGCGAATTCCGGATATAACGAACAAATTTCACAGGTTCCAGTGACTTGAAGTTCGTTATAACTGAGTTGTACTTCACCTCTTTATCACACTGTGTTGAGTTTTCTAATGACATCAGACCGTATGCACTTGCTCATATGATAATTTTTTAACCCATGGTATAAAAACGGATTAAAAATTGATCATAGAATCAAGTGCTTGTACATCAGAAAAGTGACCTTGGCCATTCGGACACAGCCAAGTTTATACAAAGACAGAACAAAAAATTTCGAGAACATGAATCCATTACATCAAAAGTTAAGAAAAATAGACTTGTTTTAAAAAAAGAATGAATACAATTTAGAAGATGCAAGGTGGCCTTTATTTAAGACCATGTTTGGAATGCTTAAGTCCTGTTAAAACACAGAAACTTAAAAAGCATTTTTTATTTAGCAACTTTGGACGCATTGTATTAAAGAATTTCTGGATTTTAACAATGATTCGAAGTATTATAAAAAATAATTCTCCGTACGTATTGTCCCATATCTAGACTAATAAATGCTTTAAATAAATGTCATTGAACCTTTATCAGGTAAATAAGGTGTAATAAATACCTGTCATGTGTGATATATGATGGACCTCGATGTGGTTTATTTTAGAACAATTTAACTCAGACTTAAACAATTAGTGTTTTATTGTCATTTTAATTTTATTTTATTTTTTCAGAGAATTGTCTTTTGTAGATTGTTTTTCATATTTGATAATCTGAATTTGGAAAACAGAAACAGGGAAAAATATTTATTAATAATTTTTTTGTATGATTTATTTAATCATTGCCAAAATTTTAAATTTATTGGGTGACCTCCCATTTCATTGTGAGAATGATGAATGTTTCCCCCTTTCAAACCATTGATTCAATCATTGATTTATACCAACCTTGCACATTAAACTTTCAGAATTTTTCACAAAATGACATTTCTCTCAGTGATAATATATACAGTGTAACCTTTATCTACCTTTTTGTAGGTGGCGAGAGTGGATCCGCCGACACAGCCCGAGATCCGCGGGGGTTCGCGGTGAAATTTTACACAGAGGACGGAAACTGGGACCTGGTGGGAAACAACACGCCCATCTTCTTCATCAGGGACCCCATCCTTGTAAATAATAAATATGAACAACATTCTCAAATGTATTCTTAACAGAAGACTTAGAAAAAAGCTTAATAACTTTTCTTGCAATGTTAACGATACTGTTGTTTTTCTGTAGTTTCCCAGTTTTATTCATACACAAAAGAGAAACCCTCGCACTCACCTGAAGGTAATTATGAATTGCAGTGTATATTGATTCAAGTTAAAAATTGCATCATTAATTTAAGTTTTACACTATTTGCATGTGTGTAATAAATTATCCTTTATGATTCTGGATGTTATACCTAGTCAGTAGAAAGGTCAATGGGATGCAACAGAACTAATGAGAGATCGAGTTCCTAGAGGGGAGGGAAGTGGGGATTTGGGCAGGGGGAATCAATAATACTGTCGCCATCATATGTACTATAATGAATTACAGGACCCCGACATGTTCTGGGACTTCATCACCCTGAGACCAGAAACCACTCACCAGGTGTCCTTCCTGTTCTCCGACAGGGGCACACCGGACGGTTACAGGAGGATGAACGGATACGGAAGTCACACGTTTAAACTGGTCAACAAGGACAATCAACCAGTTTACTGCAAATTCCACTTTAAGGTTCACGACATATTATTGTATGATTTACATATAATGTCACTTTTGAAATTAAAGAAGAAGGGATAAAAAGTCATTGTCCATGTAATTTAGACAATGCAGAGCCAGGTCTTTTTAACATAAATCATCTATAGTTACATATATAATCATTTCGCAAAAATGTATACATGTAACCGTACTCGTACATTGAAAAATTTTCGCGACACTAAAATACTATCGCGATAAACCTTTTAAAACTCTTTAAGCGAAGCAAACTTTCCACGAATTGTTATTAGAACTTAAGGAATACATGTACTAATATATGCGAGAATGAAATTTTCGCTCACGCACTTATCGCGTAATAAATCACTTGAACATATAAAAGATCTCGTGAATAAAAATTGATTTACAGTAATTCTTTGACGTAAGTATGTTTCAGAAATAATTCTTGAACATGATTTGCATTTATGTATACATGGTTTATATGTCATGGTATTTCACATTATTACAACATAGTTTTAAAACAAGAATGTCTCAGTGCACGTTTCCATACATATTGTACCTAAATTGATCTAAAAGTACACTTAAGCCGTCACCTGCCAAGCAATTTAAGATTTTTATTTTCAACAGACGGACCAGGGCATCAAGAATTTGATGGCTGACGAAGCCCATCGTCTATCTGCTGAAGATCCGGATTACGCGATCCGGGACCTTTATGATCACATTGAGGAAGGAAAATTCCCCTCTTGGACCGTCAAGATACAGGTCATGACCTTTGAGCAAGCAGAGAAATATAAATGGAATCCGTTTGATGTCACAAAGGTAAAGTTGCCCTTACAAGGTAAAATTCAAAATCCCCTTTACTGGTATAGTTGCATATACTTGTAGATGTTTACCACATACTTAGTCTGACAATTCTGTTTTGTAGTTGGATATTTTGTAAGAAAAAAATGTAATGCTAAATGAACAACAAAGTTTTAGTGGTCTTTCTGGGGGTGGGGGTAAACTTGCTGATGCATTCCTTATATGGTATACTTGTTAATGCAGCCCCGTTATTATTGTAAACCCTTTCTTATGAAGTACTTGTAGGTGTGGCCCAAGAAGGACTTTCCGCTGACTGAGGTCTTGTTAATGCGGGCCCGTTATTAATGTAATTCCGTTATTATGATATTCTTACAGGTGTGGTCCCAGAAGGACTTTCCGCTGATTGAGATCTTGTTAATGCGGGCCCGTTATTAATGTAATTCCGTTATTATGATATTCTTACAGGTGTGGTCCCAGAAGGACTTTCCGCTGATTGAGGTCGGGAAAATGGTCCTGAATAAGAACCCCGGGAACTACTTCGCTGACGTGGAGCAGATAGCCTTCTCCCCCGCTCACTTCATCCCGGGGATAGATGCCAGTCCAGACAAAATGTTACAGGTGTGTGCCATATAACTCACTCAGTCACTCCCCTTTCCCTTTTGTAACAATGATAAAATGTGGTTATGGTTCTTCTATGCATTAGTTTTGGGACAAAACAGAATAACGCGAAGCTTCGAGAATTTCTACTTAGCCTAGTATCTCTATGTACAGGTACATGTACGTATTTCCTTAGGCTAGGAAAAGGTTTCAGATAAAGGGATATAGCAGACTGGCGGGAGAATTGCTTAACTCTGTTATATGGTTAATATTCGGTGAATTTCGAAATACGGAATTATTCTTTTTTTTTAAATATATGGAATTTTAAAACAAAGAGGCTTTGTTGTACTTTACTCTCGCAGGAAATGATTAATCATTTGAATTCCCGGTATAACTGTTAACAGATATTAATTTACTCCTACAGGTTCCAGTATGGCGTGTATTTTATTGGTTCATCTATACATATTAAGTTCAGAAAGCAGACCAAGGACACGTTTATCAAAATGTGAAACTCGGCACATTGCTACCGGCAATTGTGTATGAGCATGCACATAGTCAATATATTTGATCTTTACTAGTTATTCTAAATTGCCTGGAAACTGCGTCATGGAATATCTTGTTAGAAGTGAATCTATCACACAATTTTCAGAAAAGATGCAAATATGCTTTACAGGATAGGTCATTATACGTTCCTGAAATAATTTCTAAGGTACTAAATATACATCGAACTTTTAATTACATCCATTGCTTATCTTTTACTCAACAAAGTGTTTAATCATAAGGAACAAAATATTTATATCCTTTCATTTGACAATGCCGAGTCATCGAAAAGCTCGAATACAGGGATTTTTTTAAATTCACAAAATAATGTACTATAATTCACGTACACCAAAACAACGAAGTTGTCTTTTTCTCCGTGACACGTTATAGATTATAGTTTCTACTGTTTTGGTTTGTGTGCATGGCGTACTCACTCGCCGCCTACCGGTGAGCAGCGAGAGATTTTTGGTGCCAACGCTTAATTAATGTGAAACAGTACCTCGATATATACCATCTCATCTGTAGAAATTGTCTCCATGACCCGCAGTGTGATTCAAACCTTTGTGTGATTGATAGGACAACTCCTTACTCCGCGGCACTAGAGCAAACGCTCTAGACTTTAGATACTGTAAGTCAACTTCCATTCGCAACGACTCTATATATCGGGATTTGCCGGTGAGGTAAACTAATATGCGACGATTACTTTCCGCAATCAAGCTTTTTATTCTGGTTTTTTTTTTGATAGATAGACTTTAAGGACCGGTTCGCAGCGAGAAATGTTCACGATGACGATGAAATTCCTCGCATGCGAATAGAGTTTGTTTACAGTAACCAATGTGTCTCGCCGGCGACGCTTCTACTGTTAATCTAAATATATCCCTTGTGTTTCATGTTCAATATTTTTCCTTCTGCAGGGACGTTTGTTCTCTTATTCGGACACACATCGTCACCGCCTGGGGGCCAACTACCTACAGATTCCCGTCAACTGCCCCTACAAAGCCAAAACTTTCCACTACCAGAGAGACGGGCCGCAGTGCGTCACGGACAACCAAGGTCAGGCAACTGTGCTTAGGTTTCCTAGTCTGAAATATCTGACGTTTTCCTGGCTTTTTCACGTTTTTGATATTCAAGAGGTCTGTAGACTATAAAAATCGTGAAAAAAACCTTGAGAAGCGTCAGATATCGTGGATTAAAGTCTCCAAGCTGCATAAACGTGGGTGCCATTCTGATCATAAATAATTTCGTTTTAATCACTACTAGTTTCCGTCTTGTCGATTTTGTAGGCGGGGCCCCGAACTACTTCCCTAACAGTTTCTCCGGGCCTAAGGATGACCCCGCGGGCTGTGAAATGTGCCCCTTCACGATCTCCGGGGAGTGTAAGCGTTACAACTCGGCGGACGAGGATAACTTCTCACAGGTCAACATTTTCTGGAACAAGGTACGTAATGATTCCTCAAGTAGGGGGGTTCCATTGATATGAGGCTATGATTTTTATTTTTATGATTCCGATCAAAGAAGCAAGATAGAGATGGAGGTTTACAAGAAATAGGGGATTACGATGACTTCTTCATTTTTAAGCGGTTAGCTTCGCTAACCGCTTTATGGCATGTGTCCGATTTTTATCGACACCGGAAACTTCCATAAGGCGCTACCTATCGACAACGGAAACTTCAACAAAGCCTCTACCTAGTACCAACACATATAACATATGTTAAATAAAATCAAGACTATCAAAACAACATAATCTTTCGGTTTTTTTATGTTTTTGCTGATTTTGTTTGTCAATGAAATAAATTTATAATTGTTGTATTAAAAAAAGTTTATGTATAGGAGCATTTGGTACCGAGATTAAATTTCCGTGACATCAGCTGATGGCGATCGGGCCCTGTGACGAAATTCGAAGTCAGCATGAAGTTTAGCTGATAACATTATCAACGCGTTAGATTAAACTTTAGGAAGAAATGTATAGCGAGAAATATCATATTTGAACCCAATGCTACACGAAAACCAGTAGGCATTTCCGATTTATGTGTTAAATTGAAGCCTGAATCGAACAGGTGGTCAAAATGGCGTTGGACACCTTGTGTATTCATATATAGAGGGGGTAGAATATTTCGATATTTGGCTAATTTAGAGACTTACTGATAAAAATTCAGGTGCCTGTGATTAATTATAAGCCACCCCTCATGAACAATAAATATTTGACCGAATTATGCTACTGGGCACAGGGAGGACGGGTTAATTACTGGCTAAAGGGGTTGACTGCAAAACACCGGAGAATCTCTCGATCGAGTTTCATTTTCCTTGCCAAAATATTAAGGCATCCCTTTAATTAACTTAAGTAATACTAGTACACGAAGAAAGCCTTTATATAAAAATACTGAATACATCTGTAAGTTGTACAGTTATGGATTACTTCCATAATGAAACGTTTGTTTTCTTCTCCTTTTTTTCTCAATTGAAATTATTTAAAAGATGATAAAAGCTTTGTTTCCAGGGATAAATTCTGTACTCAGTCTAATTATTACAAACGATTTTAAACGATCACATTTTTATTTTAAAAAAAAATAATGGGAGCCTGAAAATACTAAAATTAATTTTAAAAAATTGGAGAAAAAAATTTAATCGGCATTCGATCCTTTTCTAAAAATCAGCCGATATAAAATATGCACAGAAAAAAAGAGGCATGAAAAATCTTGACGATAAGCACAAATTGAAAATTATATCTAATGAATGATTATTTTTGAAAGTTTGCTAAATTCCTATGCAAGGTATAAGTTGTAAAAATACTTTTTAAATTTGAATTTGTCCAATTTGTTAATTATCATTTTGAGCCTTTGAGAAGAAATAAAAATTAAAATACAGATGCTTACAGACATATTGATAGAAATTCGCATACTTGTTTTTAGTAAAAAAAAAAAAAAACAATGTATTGCTTATGCGACATATTGAAGAAAGTGACAATGATACCTAGGTAATTCTTGCAATGGACAATTTAATTGTTTGTTATACACTGACTTTTAGTGAACCTTTGAATTTTAAAAATACTAGTATTGATGGATTAAACAACAACTTTCCTTTTCACACGCTTTTTTTTTTTTTTTTTTTTTTTTTTTAATACAATATTTCATGAAAAATATTTGCCAAATACTCAGTATATGAGTCATTTTCAAAATTTGTCCAAATTCCAACACCAGTATTTTGCAAAAATAAATGTGGCAATCTAAAATTTTTAAAGTTTTATTTTAGCATTCAAACATCATAGATGCATAAACAATGTTAAAGCACAAAGAATTCTATTAACATATACTAAAAAAAACATTATATGTACATGGACCCAACAATAAATGTCCATGGTGTTACTTAGTTAAAAGTCATAGTAAAATCATAATTAAAAAAAAAATTAAGGTTTTTAGAATAACAATCTCAACATAGTGATAAAATTATTCTATTGAATCAAACTGAAGTTTCATAACAGAAAATTATCAGATAAAGTATAGCTGGAAGTTGTAAGTGTTGTAACTTTTGTATATATCTTACACGTTTACTTAAGGCATACATTATTTACCTCAGCACAAAATACTTGCTTTGCAGATAAACTTAGTATTAGAAAACGACAGTATTGTGTTGCAAGTTTCGATAAAATTGTATAAAGATTTAGAACATAAATATAGGAAAAATGTGTTGGTAACACCAAGGATATTTGCATAACACAAAGGACATAAAGGTTACACTAAGGATATTTTGTGTAATACTTAGAAAGAAATAATAAAGTTGTTCTCCTTCCTTCGAAAAGATAGTAATAAAATTACCCTAGAGGTGAATATAAGAGTATATGGTTTTAACATAAAAAATTGGCGGGGGATTTCTTTATTTATACATTTTGAGTCTGACTAAAAACACCAAGGATAAAACAGTAACGACATAGACATAACTATCCAATCATAAGATATATGACAGTAGAAAAATGAAATCAAATTGTTATGCCCGAATAATAAATAATTACTATCACATGACTTTGAATCATTGATCAGTACTTGTTAGTGTATTTACATATCCAAGCAGAAGCTGTAACACCAATGACAAAAAATAACACAAAGGACACCTTTAAAAGATTCAAAGGTTTACATAGATGAGTCTTAGATCAGCTAGAACTAACTTTTAATGAAGAAATAATCGTGAAACTAGAACATGTACATGTATTTGTAAATGACCAGATTTCAAATATATAGAATGTATTAATCTTTTTATGGATTTTACATTTTCATTTCATTTATCTACAGCTAGCCTCTTTCCACAATGAGCTCTCTACATAATACACATCTACAAGATATGATGGTGACATGTTATTAAAACATTAGCAATGCTATACCAGCTTTTATCTTTTACAGTTTTTGGCCTGTTAAAAAGGAACATGGTTGTAGGTTCTGTCTAATCCCGTGCATACATTTAAGTTCATTTTTTCTGTATCTTTATCCAGCCTCTCTTCCAAAGGATCTGATTTCTCTTCATCTGTAGTCTGATGTTCATTATTGACTCCAATTCTTTCTCTTCCAGGGTGTCAGTCTTTTCAGTTTCTTTAGTGGGATTTCCTATCAGGAACTCTTGACTTTTTTTAATCTGTACTCTTTTTCATTTTTTTCACTGATATTTTCCTGCCCTTTTTACTCTTGTATCCACTGATCGTTTGCCAAACTTTCATTGACAGTTCTTCAAGGTAACAATCCAACAAAGTGGCTTGAAATGTAGTGGTCTGCCACCATACCTGGTCTTGTTGTTGTCCAATGCTGCCTCGACTATATAATCTTCACCACCACTTTCCAAAAGCTTATGTACATCCAAGGTTAAAAACTTCTTTCAGCAAAAACTTTTACAGGATGTAGAACAGTCATGAGGGATTTCAGTTGGACAAATCTGAAGAACATCCTCAACTAAATGCAAAATTGTATTCTAGGGTAATGACTGGTACATTGTCTCCTTAAAAAAATCTTTTGAAATCCTTTTAGAACAGTTATGAACAATTTGTGACTTTTTCATTTAAGGGTTTACATGATTTGCAAAGAAATGTTCCGAATCTGATATAACTTTAAAGGTATTTTCAATTCAATGATATAAATCTATCTTTCACGTCTTGGATTCTATTGGCTTCATTGCAATTTTTTAATGTGTCTTGTTTACATCATCTTCATCAAGAGAACATAACTAGAATCCTCAGACTAAAGAAAACAAATCATATTCTGCCTTATTTCACATTCCCTTGTGTTACCTAAAACTTCCTTTGTGTTACCATTTTTAACCATCATATATTTTTAGCACTTCATTATTTATTGTTACTTGAATTGCAATATCCCACCACATTTGTTTTCTGCAATACAATGAACACAATTACCACTCCATATGCAATACGCTTGTTTCATTTTTCTATCTTTAATCCTTGCTGTGTCCCTTGAGTAACTAAATTTGTCTATGGTGTTACCATAGGTTACTTTAAAGAGCATAAAAGGAGATATGATTGCATTACATAATGAAGTTTGATATTTCAATTTATTCAAAAGAAATAAAAGTTGTATATTTTCCTACAGAAACAAAAGAACATGCAAGAGTATATTAATAACATAAATATTTAATCGTTTTTACATCCATTGTGTTACCAAACATTGTCCTTTGTGTTACTCAAATTATTTATTGAATTAATTTATAGCTCATGGAAACATAATATGAAAAATAAATGCCAATTTGATAAAAATATTTCTGTTATTTTATATTGTAATAAACTTTACACAAATGTTGTATTAAAATTGGGAATTTAAAGGGTTTTTTTTTCAATTGGTCCGGAGTTACCCAATTCTGTCCTTTGCATAACCAAGACTGCAAAATCATATGATTTTCAAATGGTAAAAACATTTAGTAAATAATTTGGCATTTTAAAACAAAATTAGTTACTGGATAGTTTTAAATAAGGGAGGAAAATAAAACATATGACTCCAACTTTCATTCTTTTTAATTATTTTCTATCTAAATTGTCCATGGAGTAACTAGATACATCCTTAGAGTAACTTTTCTTGCAGTAACAAAATGGACAGTAACACCAGGGAATTATTATATAAATAATTGGAAGTATAAAAGCAATAACTGACTTATGAACATAAAGCACAGCTCCTAGATGATAGGTATTTTGTTATAAACTTGCTCAATGCATCAAAGAAATGGCAAATTAATTTATCATCACAATATCGAAGTAACTCCTAGGACTCAAAAATAAATTACTATTGCAATCAAACTTGCCTTCAACCACATATTGTGCCTATGGTATAAAAGATCTGTGTAAAGTGTCTCATGATATTTTGGCGGGAACAAGACCAAAAGAAGGAGGCTGATAGTGAAGAGTTTCTTTAGGAAAGATAACTGTTACAGATAACTTTTATGTCCTGGTAACTCCAAGGACACGGCCAAAATAACACACTCTTAACTTAAAAAAAATCATATTCTTACTCTTTTTCAATCACATTTTAGCATGCATTTAGACAGTATTAAACATGTACAACACAATAAAGGTCATTTTACACTGCATAATTATATTTACTACATTAATAATCAGAGTTGAAGTCAAACATCCGGCCAAATCACAAGCAATTCTCTTTAATTTTACTCAGGTTGAAGGACTTTTTTCAGTATTCAAGTCAATTTTTAAACGCACTTAATTTTTTTCTACACTTGTAGATTGTTGTTAAATTCTTCGGGTAAAAAAAAAATGATTTTTATTGCAAAATTTTCAAAAAAAGCTTGTATAACAGGAATTTGGACATTTTTTGAAAATGACCCATATGTTCGTTTATACATATCGTGCAAGACTCTTTTTAAAATAATTGTCATATTCCATTTACTTATTCGAACATTAAATTGTATGAAAAGTCAATAATGTATACATTTCTTAAAACTTTATTATCTTGTTTTCTTGTCTTTCTTCCTGTGAGAGAAATAGTTCATAATATTAATAAACAGATGTACTCAGTATCTGTATTAAAATACAGAATGAACAGTGATCGGTCTCAAAAGAAAAACGGATCCTTGAAAGTTCCGGTGCCTAGGAGAAGTAAGCATCCCCAATGACAGGTCACACCTGCTGATCCGCAGTGAGCCTACGAAACTGAAGCTCTCTGAAATTAATTAATTCTCTGCTCGTCCATCCGTTTTTCTCAGACTAGCCAGCTAAAGATCTATGTACAGTACTCCACATCAATTAATCTAAAGAATTTGAATTATCATTTTATTTTCTTTTTGAATTGTTTGCTATAGTAGCCTTTACAGTTACCTAATTTCAGAATCAATAGAGCATGAGAGCCAATTAAATTTGCAACATCAACATAATTTTTTTTCGTTCTGAGCACTTTTGGACGCCACCAATGGAGACAATTAGGGAGAAATTTTTGAAATTGAACTTCCTGTCTTTCAAACTGAAAACCTCAGGTTGATATTTTGAAACAAACATTTGTGACATCAGTCTGGGATCTTATTGGTTATACCATTTAGTTAAGTACTACAAAAATTCAGTGTGTCTGCTTCTTCGCTGATGACACTGGAAAAAGATATGCATGCCTACTTTAATATCATCATTCAATGCATTTTTTGTTATTGTACACTGTACATATTCGATGAAAGCATGCTAACCGCTTTTCAGTACTTTCAGTACTTTGATTTTTATTTTTTATTAACTGCATATTAATTAATATGGGCAGCTACAGAAATTATTTGGTTTTTAAAAGATCGAACAAGGTACCTTACTTGAAAAAGGTGTTGCACTTTTCAAAATAGTTAGGCAAAAGATATTTTTTTTTAATAATAAACTTTCAATATTTTTCTAAATAAAATAAAATAACTTTCTAAATGTTTAGGTCCTGAAGCCAGAAGAAAGAGATCGCCTTGTAGAGAACATCGGAAACCACGTGATCAACGCTCAGAAATTTTTACAAGACCGCGCTGTTAAGAACTTTGGGCAGGCGGATCCAGAGTTTGGCAAAAAGCTACAGGCGTATCTGGATTCCATGAGAGGCGGTAAAAATAAAGTCAATGTCGTGCTGGTAAGTTATTGAGTCTTATAATTATTTATAATATAATATAGGAATTATTATTGATTATAATTTAAATCTAAACGCAAACCGTTATAACTTAATTAAAACAAATGGACAAAAACTATCTTCTTTTATAAAACAGTGGCGTAATATTGTATTTTTTCAGAATGGCGTGAAGGTGACAGAGAGTTAGACAGTTGTACGGCAAAACAGAACCAAAGAATAAGTGAACATCATCATGTGTCATAATTAACGATGCTTATAGAGACATGGTCATGTGATTCAAAAACCCAATTTGTCATTTTCATGGAACATTTTTCTTATGTACTTGACATGTATAATGCATATATATACCCAGACCTGTACAGTCATTTCTACAATGGATTATATATTTAATTATATTCTTTTGTGGTTTTGATTATACTTTAGCATTCATTGTAGATTTAATGTGCTTAATTGCTTTATATAAAACCCCGCAAACTCGACATTGGTTAAATATACGGTTTATATACCGTGGAATTGTGTCAGTAATAGACGTGAACTAAAAACTTGCTGAAAAAAGCTAATATTTTCAAAAAGATTCCTGGATGTGAAGTAATGTATACACATTAGCAAAGCTTGTCTTGCTTTCATATTTGAATATACATGTATTAAATAGTTAAAATAAAACTATATATGAAAGGTCAGCTTTCATTTTTTTTATTAGAGATTATTTTTCTCTTTGAACTCGAAATAAAAGGCATGATACCATGGATGCTGACATATATTAGCATCTATTTCATATTTGGATATTTTACTCGTATAACCTAACAACAAAACTTCGTGATAAACTTGTTAGACTTCAACTTTTCTATCGTTAACTATTCACTTATTTATTTAGCAATAAACCATTATCATCTGCATATGGAGTTTATTTATACTAGTTGATTTGGTATGTAAGAGCTTGTTTTACATATTTCTAAAAGAGACTTCACTGACAAGTCCAGCTATTGACAAATAAGTCGATAAAACAGTGCTTTAAATGGCGGTCTCGTTTAAAGTTAACAATTTGGAAAGTCTATGATCGATACAATGAACTTGTAAGCAAACACAATCTATCATTAAACCTTAAATCAAGTGTTGACTGGTGTTTTCGCCCTCATGATGTGGCAAATGTCTGTCCACTCTGAGGCTTTTAAGAGCTAAGATCAAGTTATTTCATGCAAATTACCGAACCAAATATTATATTTTTCACTTATTTTGACAAGGATCTAGCACACAACGGTCGTTGTCTACTTCACAGATGAAAAATGCATAATCTCACCTTTTATTCGGGTTTCCTGAAAATGTATATTGATATTCCCCGAATAACTAAAATAATGAACTTTGAAGAAATATCATGGATATTCCACAGGTGATTGAGGGCAGGATCGCCCCAATATAGGCACCCTGGCCTTTTAGACTTCTTCCATAAATTATATTTTGATGACGCATTTGTCAGTGATATAATCTATCCTATCAATTCAGAAAATTTGCTTAAAGTAAAACTAACATTTTATTAAAAAAAAAAAAAAAAAAAAAAAAAAAAAGTGACAAATTAATTTTAAACGCACATTTGTTGTATTTTATCGTTAATTAAAGAGGGTTATATTTTTTGAATTAAATTCAGTCAAAATAATGTACATTTTGATATTCTAGAGTATTGAAAATTCATATAGTTCCTACTGTGTATTCTAACGCGCGGTGACAAGGTTTCGCGTGTGTTATAGAAATTTGAACGTCGTAGATTTCTAATGGATTTTATAATGAAAATTACACTGGATGTAAATATATTTAAATATAGAATGTAGGGTAGATTTTACAAAACGTTTGTTTTATGTAATTTTACAATTTGTTGGTGTAGATCTTATCACAAACACAGGGACTGGACTCACTGGAGACAATTAATCTTAGCAAAATCGGGTATATGTAGTCTCCCCTAATATGTTTTACGGTGTGACCGTTGGGGCGAGCGCAGTTTATTTACTATCATACACCTACACATGTACTGTCTATCGTTCAAGAAAAAGAAAGCAAAAAGAATAAAACAAAACAATAAAAAGAAATCATTTCCCAAGCATCGGGATCGATATTCCAAACTTCTCGGAAGTTTCCGACAAAATCGGAAATACCCGAACCGTTGAAGTGACGAAAGTATGACGTCAGATAAAAAGTTCTGTTGACTTAGGACGAAAACGCTAGTTTTATGGAAAAGAGATTGCATTAAATCGTTCTTTTCAAGTAAGTTGTTGCTATGTTTTAGCCACCATGTTGCTATGCACCGCAACATGTTTTCCGAGTTTCACGGAAGCAACCGACATAACTTCGTCAACATTCGTAAGTTTCCGGTGACGTCATTTGTATCATTTCCGAAGGGAAAGGTGAAGGCCGGTGTTGTGGCATGGGGGTATTTTTTTGAATAAGGTAAGGCAAAATCATTTCGTTAAGATTTCGGTAAGAAACAATGTTCCTTTAATTTTTTTACCATTTTTGATTTATTCGCGCAAAGGACATTGGGTAGTGCAGGAATTCTGGGAATGTTGCACAGAGAAATTTGGCTGACGTATGTACAGATTTCAATCCGAATTTCCTCTGTTTATACACGTTAGTCTATTGAGCTCGCTTCGCGAGCGTCGCTTTGCGACGCTCGCTGCGCTCGCTATTATACTATATACCCGTTTTTGCTAAGATTGTCTCAATTCCCTGTGATCACAAATATGTCAATGAAAGATAATTTATGAGAAAAAGGTTGAAAAGGCTCAGGGGTCTATATCGAGGGGTGGGGTGGGGTGGGGGGGGGGGGGAGGGGGTTCACATCATAAGTTGAACAATGTTCAGAGAATCAGATATTTCTTTTGAAAACCAGTTTTTTACACCTTACAGCTTTTTTTTCTTTTTAAGTTACACCTCATTTGTATGTTGTATTTATACCCATCATAAAATTAAAAGCCAGTGCTCTGAAATAAATATCCTTAAAGAAACATAATCGAATAATTATTGTACAACCTAGCAGTAGTTTCATAACAACATAATATTTTCGCCTCCTAACATAGAAGAGTCAATTTACCTCTGACCCGTCCTGTGACACATTTTCTGTCAGTAAATAGAGTTACATAAAGTAGGACGCTACACCTGGACTTCGTAGTATCTCCTTGATTTTTGCACCGTCTCTTTAACACAACCGACAAGATGGCAGGACGTGACAAAGCGTCAGACCAGCTCAAAGAATTCAAGAAAACCCAAACAGTAAGTGAAAGAGCACCTGCACGTCTTCATTCTTATCTCCCTTGTTCTGCTATCAAAAGTGGTCGACGTGATTATTGTCATGAATCAGTAGCATTTCTGATTTTTCTTCGACTTTCCATTTCCATTAAATGCCAATTTAAAATTAAATTTTTTAAAAGTATACAGTAACTAGTTAGGAGAAAAGACAATGACATTGATAGTTTTTATTATTCAGTAAATATATATGCTCAAGTCAAAACAAAACAAAGTATATAAAGGTTATACGTTTATGTCATGAACAATTTTACGTATTTATAATCATATTATTAAAATTTATTCATTGTTTTTCTAAATTCATCAGGAAATTTATTGTTAGTATAACGCAATTTTTTTTATTTTGCAGAAGGAGGATGTGTTGACAACAGGAACGGGGGCCCCAGTGGGTCTAAAGACAGCCACGATGACTGTGGGCCCCAGGGGACCCGTTCTTCTCCAGGACTTTGTTTTTACGGATGAAATGGCTCACTTCAATCGTGAAAGAATCCCAGAGAGAGTGGTTCATGCTAAAGGAGCAGGTAACATAATCCCCAGTGTACTGTAAACCAACTCTTATTTGCCTGCCAGAAATATTTGCGAATTCCGCGACCTTCTTCTTAATCGCCAATAATTTTGATAAGTATTTGTAGAGAATGTTTCCTTGGCTGTGAAAATTAAAGTCACGGATTGATTTCAAACTGACGAATCATGAATAAAAGATGACGCGGTAGTAGTTGGTTTACAGTAAATGTGTATTACTTGCAAACAAGTAATGTAATTATCGGCTAAAATGTATAGAAATTGCAAACAGGTTATGTAATTCTTAAACTTATAAAGTATTCAGTATTAGAAAGGGGAACACATTACAAGTATATGTAGGTAATTATCAGCTTAAAATTTTAGTATTTAAAAAAAAAACAAGTTTCAACTGTTCAGATTTCTTTAAAAGATTCCTGATCAATGATTCTTTAACAGCATTACCTCCTGTCTATTTATAGGAGCATTTGGATACTTTGAGTGCACCCACGACATAACAAAGTACACCAAGGCCAAACCGTTTGAATTCGTTGGCAAGAAGACTCCTTTGGCTGTTAGATTCTCAACTGTTGGTGAGCCCTCATACAGCTCTTTATGCTTTCTGAGTTTCAAACAAGTTAATTTGAATTGCTGAATTAGATAAAAGGAAATAGAGCACCTGTTTTAACTGACACAACTAAAAAGAATATAGGAGGGTACCCACTTTGAATATGTATGTTATGATTAAGGTGGAGAGAGCGGATCAGCGGACACTGCCCGTGACCCCCGAGGCTTTGCCGTGAAGATGTACACAGAGGAAGGAAACTGGGATTTGGTGGGAAACAACACACCCATCTTCTTCATCAGAGATCCTATGCTGGTCAGTTAAAAAAAATAGTTTAATAGCAAATGCAGATTGTCCTTCTCATTTTTAAAGTTAAGTGATATCATTTTAAAAGGCCCTTTTTAGACTGGTTTTTTTAATTTTCAGTTCCCAAGCTTTATCCACACACAGAAAAGGAATCCACAGACACATCTCAAGGTCTGAGTTATCTCTCTTTGAATTCTTTTCATTTAAAGAATTGCATGTCATTCTAAACTTAAAATATCTTCAGACCAAACCTATACATGATTAACATGAACATTCCACTTACAGGACCCTGACATGTTCTGGGACTTCATCACCCTGAGACCAGAAACCACTCACCAGGTGTCCTTCCTGTTCTCCGACAGAGGCACCCCGGACGGTTACAGGAGGATGAACGGATACGGAAGTCACACGTTCAAACTGGTCAACAGTCAAGGCAACCCCGTCTACTGCAAATTCCACTGGAAGGTGGCTGTTTAATCCTACTGAACATGTCTACACTTTACAGAGTCTTATGATCAAAGTGTTTTTTTTTTTTCCTTCTAAATCAACCTCACACTTCAATATTTGATCTTGTAGTGTGATCAAGGCATTAAGAGTCTTATGGCTGATAAGGCTGCCCAATTGGCTACTGATGACCCAGATTATGCCATCCGAGATCTCTACAACCACATCAGTGAAGGAGACTTTCCCTCGTGGACCCTCAAAATCCAGGTCATGACCTTTGAGGAGGCAGAAAAATTCAGATACAATCCTTTTGACCTTACCAAGGTACACTTTGTCACAATTCACAGAAATTTTTTCTCATTGCAATTAAAAAGCAGAAATATTTTATGAACTGACTGCAGTAACTTCACTGTATTTGATTTTATGTTTTGTGTTAAGATTTGGCCACAAGGAGAATTCCCCTTGATTCCAGTTGGAAGAATGGTTTTGAACAGAAATCCCAAGAACTACTTCGCTGAGGTGGAACAGATTGCCTTTTCACCTGCTCACATGATTCCTGGGATAGAGGCCAGTCCAGACAAAATGTTACAGGTATGTACTGGCCAGGCTCAGGTTACTTTAAAAAGCTTTCAAGACCATTAAAATATTTGGTGCTCTTAGGTGATGACAGCTGTAACATAATCTTGTTTCATGTGATAAATAAATGTTTTATTTATACAATTGAAGGTTAGGAATAATTCTAACTTTTATATCTTGTATATAGGGTCGACTGTTCTCCTACTCTGACACACACAGACATCGTCTTGGCAGTAATTACCTCCAGCTTCCGGTCAATTGTCCGTTTAATGCCAGGACCAAGAATTACCAGAGGGACGGACCTCAGTGTGTCGACGACAATCAAGGTAAGCCGTAGAACACCGCCAGAATTACCAGAGGGATGGGCCACAGTGTGTCGACGACAATCAAGGTAAGCCATAGAACACTACAAGAGTTTCCAGAGGGAGGGGCCACAATGTGTTGACAATAAACAAGTGTAAATGGTCACAGAACACTCCAAGAGTTCTACGCTTTGAAAATTTAATTCTGATTTACGAAATACAATATGTGTGGAAATATCAACTATGTGTTACTCTTTTGATATAAGCTAATAATATGATAATAACAGTAGTTTCAGTGCTATTGTTCCTTTATTTCAACATGCTTTAAATTTGTTGTCTGTGTAACTTTATAAAGCGATCACTTTTATATTTGTTTATATGTAATTATGTATTGATTTGAAATCAAATGATAGAGTTGCAAACTTTAACTTTCATTACAGTACATGTAACATATAGCCTTAAAAGAAACTATAATCACGATTCATATGTCATGTCTCTACCCTATAGGTGGAGCACCAAACTACTTCCCTAATAGTTTCTCTGGGCCCCAGGATAATCCCTCCGCCTTAGAGAGCGAGTTCTCCCTCAATGGTGATGTCAAACGCTACAACACAGCAGACGAGGACAACTTCTCCCAAGTCGGGGTCTTCTGGAGAAAGGTCAGCCATTAAACTATTACACTGAATTCACCATACTACACCACTTGGCACAACTAAAATCTCCATACAACATCATACAATAACACTAAACCATGACAAACCTCAACACTAAACCATACCCCCCACTTAAGCACACCATATCACAACACCTTAATCACACTAAAGTATATTAAACCATAACATCCCAAAACACCAAACCATACCCAATGGCACCAATTAACTACACCATATGACGCCTCTAAACCACTATACTGAACCACGCCACTACACAACCATGTGACAGACACTACTAATCATGCCATAGTTCTCTCATATGCCTGGCATTGTTCTGTGTATGACATAGTTCTTTATATTGATCGTTCCTTTGATTTGCCTTCTTTAACCTGATTGGCTCTGTGTTTTGACAGGTTCTGAAGCCCTCCGAGAGACACAGGTTCCTTTGATTTGCCTTCTTTAACCTGATTGGCTCTGTATTTTGACAGGTTCTGAAGCCCTCCGAGAGACAGAGGCTGGTGGAAAACATCGCTAATCATGTGATCAATGCCTCCGAATTCCTGCAGAAGAGAGTGGTCAAGAATTTCAGCCAGGCGGATCCTGAGTATGGACGTGGAATCCAGGAGGTTCTGGACAAACTCAAGGCTCAGATTAAATCAAAGGTATGTTCTAAGTAATCACCAACTCATACAATAGTCATGCTACATCTACAATGTTACATCTAAACAATAGTCACAAGACACTTAACACATACAGTGCGTTAACCATCCTCAGTGTGTAATCAAATTAACTAATGTAAACAAACAGTAGTTATATACCTTAAATGACATAACCAATCTGTACAATTCTCAACTGCAATACCTTTGATTTCACACACCATCTGTAAATTGTTACATTTTTATATTTTTACAATTTTTTAACCCATTATGCAAACTAACTACATATCTACAATACCTAATAACTGAACAATAGTCACCAGTTACATACAGTTGAACTTTAGTATCAAGCACTGATATCTCCAATAATATGGATTTGTTCTAGTGATTAGAAAGTCCCAATCTCGTTTTCTTTATGTTTTTATCCTCAATATCTCTAATCTCTGGATTCTCAAATTTCAAGTTACATCTCAGCTCCAGTGAGTTAGGGGATACTTTTATCTTGACTTTTATTGTAATCATGTGTTATAACCCATTAGATTTTGCAAAATAGTCATATGGCTACAAAGTTGTCACCCATCACTTTAGTAAGAAGGATATGGAGGTAACGAACAGTATTCAATCTCAAAGTCCATAAAACAATACAAAATAAGAGCAGAGCAAAAACGGACCCAGGAAACATCAGAGGTGGGATCAGGTGCCATGGAGGAATGAGCATCCCCTGCTGACCGGTCACACCCACTGTGTGCTCCTTGTCATGATCAGGAAATAATGGAAAAAATCCTTCGTCAATTCAGTGTATAAATGATGGACTAACAATTGGTATGAAAAACGTCAGTCAGCATTTGACTCAATGATAAATTGTATTTGCTGACAAGGTCATTGTATCAACCATAGAACTTTCGAAATTATGACTTTAAACGAGACTGCTGATATTCTTGTTTCATCAACTTGCTTGTCAGTAATTTACCTCGTTTAAGAAATTGTTCATACGTAGAGCAAGCTCTTGCATATCGAATCAACTGAGATATATACACTCTGTATGCAGGTAATGAAGGTATATTGCTGCATAAGTAAGGGAAGTTGACGATAGAAAAATTAAAGTCATCACGTTTATCGTATAGCTTGGTTGTTAGATTACCATTAGAGTCTTTTTCAAGGAAAATATCCAAGTATGAAACAGATGTGTTGGACTCTGTGGTATCTTTTATCTCAAGCTCACCAGGATATATCGTATCAATGTAGGGATGGAAATTATCATTATTAATTGACAATACGTTGTCGATATATCTAAATGTCGAAATTGAATGCCACAGCAAGTGTTTTCTTCTTTTCATGCACAAGATTTTGCATAATATCTGCTTCATATGAATATAAAAATAAGTCTGCAGTAAGTCATAAACAATTTGCCAAACCTTATAAAAAGATGTCATATGCTTAAAATGCACTAAAAGTTTTTTGTTTTTAATACTTTTTTATCATACCCTACAGAGCGGACTGCCTGCCCAGCTGTAACCTGTGACAGAGTGATATAGGGCCGGCTAATCTGTGACAGATGACAAACTGATAATATATACGGCCAGCTAGTATTGATCCTGATTTTTACAGAAACATTTCTACATAGTGACAATAATGCTTTAATACATGATGAATCAGTATTTAATGAAACGTTTCATAATCAATTATCCAGGTACTTCCTATATTTGTGGTTTTTGTGTGTTTTCAGTCATTTAAAAAAAAGACATTTTTATTCTCAGCATGTGTTTTGATGTAATATTTAATCAATGCTCTGCTAATGGTAACATGAAATAGATTTAATATGTCATACATGTATTTGGTACACAATGAATTTAGATTAGAATGTATTCATGTAGTGATAGTGTTCAGAAACATTTCTAATTTTAATTACAATTTTATTTCCAGAACCTCACTGTTCTTCCTGTTGCAGATTTCGTATTATAATTCATTTTCCTGTTAAAGCTGACAAACATGATAATGACAATGTGATATTTATTATGTAATGTATACATAGATATTTTATTACTGACTCTGTGCAAGGTTAAAACTTTGTTAGTTTTACATCATCTTTTGATTGTATACTTTAAAACATGTCAAAAGTGATTATTAATAAAAATTAAACAAATATGTTGTAAAGTTTCAGTTATTTTTACACTAAAAACCTTACGAGAATATTAAGTACTAGGAATATGGATGTCATAGAAGTAAGAAAAGACAATATATGCAGTATTAGCTTTTATTGTCATCTTAATTTGAGTTTGTCAGGTGATCTTATGCTAATGAATCATGACTTTCTTCTATCTTGCATAACCTTTTGAATACATGCGTTACTGAACCAATTTTAACTAATTTTGGCATGCAGCATCTTGAAGAACAAAACTGCAAAAAACATCATAAGTCATAACTTTGTTTATTGTTTAAAAAATATTTACAAGTGTATTTAATGTGTGAGGCTTTCTAATTGAAACAGAATTTTATTTACTGATGTTCATGTGAATGGGATTGGGCAGCAGGCTCAGCCTATTTTAGCCCTCTCCCTACAACAAGGTCAAGGTACAAATTAATGAATGTGTGAGGCTTAAAGACACATAACACAATTCTGCAGACAAGGATAAATTGTAATTAAAATCTCAATTTCTTGCAACCTTTTCCCTGTCATTCCATAAAGCATGTACATGTGTAGCATAAGTAAATGGTCTCATGAAATCACGTCTGTTGAAATGAACATATTCATATTTCTGCATGCGCACAACATTATGTATATGGGATGGTTAGGACAATATTTTAAGGTAGTCCTCCTCGGAGAGACATGGCGTCGGTGCCGGACGGTGAGAACACGGCCTACACGACACAGTTTCGATATTTACTGGTATGGAGAAGGTCTTGCCGACGTTTGTCTTGTTCCGGTCCAGAAGTTTCAGTACACCCGTGTTGGCGCGTCTTCTGGGTCCAACTGGCGGAACCTCCATGGACGCCGATTTAAAACAGTGCTTAAGGTGAGAACCTTTAGGAGTTTTGTACTTTTCAATGAAAACCGTGTGTTTTTTCTCGAGTTTCCTCACATATTCTATGAGTTTTTTGTCGATGAGAATTTTCGGCGGGTCACTGTCGTAATCGGAACTTTCCGTGTCGTCATAATCGCTGTCTGCTTCACTGGTTGGTTCAGATTCCGGACTGAGAGCAGCTTCACCAAATGAGCAGGTATTGCACGAGTCAGGGTCTATGTAGCTGATCCTCTCCATTCTAACAGAGCTGCATGGACTCGACAACCTCTGACGCCCACATGGAGGAGGGGCGCCATCAGATGTCCTCGACTTTCGAGATGACCTGCATCGTCTGCTCCGACGGACAGGTCTTGAATATTTATTAGTCTGAGAACTGATAGAACGAACCACACCATGGTGACCTAACGCGTAGTCATAATCTGTGTTGATCAGTTCACTGCGTCTGAAAATCGAGTAAAATATTTGAAAAGGTAGTTGCTAGATAGAGTTATAACTTTTAATATTTTAAAATTCTAACAATAGAGGTTAATTATCAAATGCATAGCTGCGCGACGATTTTTTGTGTAAAATGTGAAAAAAGAAGATAACGAATATTGATCGATCTAAATTATAAAATCTACAAACAATACAAAGTCGTTAACAGATAATAAAACACGAACCCTTCCAACAATGCTCTACTTTTAAAGTACCCAATGATACTGGTTTATAGCAAATTTCGTAGAAATTTTGTCTTCTGGTCCTGGAATGGAAGTTTTTTACCACTTACATTCCAGATCCTGTGAGAATTAGGGGTGGGAATCAAAAGACTCTCCCTTTGCATCAGTTATTGATTATCTGCTGTCGCTCATTTCACTGAACATTCCCAATGACGTTGGAATATTGCCCCCTCTTATTTGCCACCATAGCTGATAACCTGTAGTGTTTGATATGGATTTTTCTGTTTGTCCGATCATGACTGGTTGACATGGAATGTTTACTCCTCTATGGCACCTGATCCTACCTCTGAGGTTTGCTCAGCTCCCGATTTGTAATTGTTTCTATGGAGTTATGAGCTTGATTACCGTTCATTATCTCTAATATTTCATGAATAATGAATCCGGTTTTATTTCGACAATTTGTAACAAAAATATGCTACACCTTAAAAATAGAATTTCACCTCATGTTTCCTTCTTTAACTCAACTTGGAAAAGCTTCTATAAACGGTGACCTCAACCCAAGTATACGGTTAGCTGTCATTTTCGAACTTTTTCAAGATTTGACAGAAAAAAAGGTTTTACAAACGTAAGAAAGTACCTTTTTTCAAATCTTCTTTGGAATGGATCATTAATGCTCCTTCTTGCCTGCTCGTTGCCATAGATCGCTGTCTCCAGCGGTGTTTGTGTACTCTTATGGACGTTGAAAAGCCCGAAGCGTCTCTTTTGTTCTACAAATCATTCAATCAAACAATAAGTCTTGCGTGCCTGTCTGTTTGTGCAGTTTTATTTATTATCAATTTACAAATGTATCTTTGTTTTTTATTCCTCTGGGAATTGATATGAGAGAGTTTCGCTGACAGACTTATTAAGAATTTTGTCCCACATTATTATTACCTCAACTGAGTCTATTATTATTCTAATTTCCCGATGATAGATGATTGCTTTCAGATATTATCGGTACTCATGGCGGGTGTGACCGGTCAACGGGAATGCTTACTCCTCATTGGCACCTGATTCCCCTCTTAAATATCCATGGGTCTGTGTTTTGTTCCCGCTTTACATATTTGTATTGTTTGAAAATATTATAATTATTTCTTTAGATTGATAATTGTTCGTTATCTTCACCTTTTTGTATCTAACGTGACGTATGGTTTTAGCAAACTTCCTTAAATTGAAAACATTCATTGTATATTTTTGTTTTCTATTTGTTCAGTATAAATGGACAATTAAAAGTAGATATATAGATGAAGAAAAAGTTAAATATATTAAGTTTGCGGAGCATCCTTATAAACATAAAATTTGCAAGAGGACTTTTGAATCAATATGCTTACATTAATTATGGACCTCTCAAGTCTCAAAATCCGAGTTTTAAAAGATATATAAATTTACATATATTTACCATAAATTAAATGCGACTTTTGTTGTATAAATTGCAAGAATTATTCTTTATACTTAAATGAACAGACTATAGGCCTATAAATAAGTATGTTAACCATATGTCAGTATCTCTTCTCGCCGTCCGTAAATCTCACATCCCGAGATGCTCTCTTCTTCCGGCGGTAGTTCAGCTGCTGCCTGGTGACCATAGAGTCTATTTTCTCGGGATATCGTCTGCATGCTGTATCTCATGCTACTACTAAGTATTCCTCCGCGCTTCCTATCATAACGAGAAAGAAACCTATATATGCTGACAATTGATACATGTAGAACTTCAGTTTATTTCGTAGTTATTCATACAGCGATTAAAAATTACATGTACAACAGCTATTATTAATGTGCATATAGCGCTTTTTAGGAGCTATATTTTAAAATTTTACCCAGCTGACTCAACAAATTTCCATCCTAAATCACTTAAGTAGGTGTATTGGATATTGCACTACTATACTAAAAAACCGATTGTCTTAAAACATGTAAAAGTCTACACTTTTCCTGAGAAGAAACATTTTAACATTGTGATGAGAGACGTAAGAGGAAACTTTCAAGATTCTCAATGCATTTAATATGCTGACCTTTTTCGCTTCCGAAAGCGAATCAAAACGAATACCATGGCAAATACAAGGAAGAGACATCCGACTGCCGCTGCAATAAGAACAATAGAAAAATTAAGTCAAGTTTAGGATTGTATATATTGTATGCTTATCTATATTAATCTTTGCTAAGAAAAAGGATTCATAAAGAAATTTTAAGGTGTTGTACCACAGTGCCAGGTAAGTAAAACACTTGTAGCTAACAGGTCTCAAAAATGAAGGAAAATAAATTGATCTCCATATAAAGACAACATAGTTTGACGCATCTGCAAAATATTTTGTTATATTACTATAGAAATACACTGGAAATCAAGCAACTTAACTTTACGATAAGGTTGTTGACGATCTTTTTTATTGTCACCTTGCATTATCTGTGATAAAATATACAGTATTAAATATCATCTCATGTATCTTCTATGGGGTGTACAAGTACGTGCCGGTTGATTCGATATGCGAAAGGATGTCCTAAACGAGGATATTCCACAAAGTCTAAGACAAGGCGAACTATTGACAAATAAGTCGATGATACAAGAATATCAACAATTTCGTTGAACATCAAATTTAGTAACTCTATATAGTCAGCACAATGATCCTTTTTGCAAATACAATCTTTCGTTCTGACAAATTGTATAATAAACGTAATAATGATGAAGATAATAAACCCTACAACCGTTACAATGACAGAAAAACACAGATCCCTTGAATAACAGAAATGAAATCAGGCAAGACCATAAAATTTACGTGATGTTGACATTAAACACGGTTGTTTAAATCCAACTAAAATATTTTTGGTTAATACCTGTAGCTTGCATCGGTTAATGAATCGATTGTTCTCGGAGCATGCCCTTTGTATTTATATTGTTTGTAGCTAAATGTAAAGTTTCATGTTACGTCACGATCTTTTTCGTCAGATGCATCCAGCGTAAACAATCTACATGATTGGTCAACTCAAATTATCAATATTGACACGGAAATAGTCTGTTGCACGAGCAACCAGTCAGGGATAAGAGGAGATTTCCAGTCGTAAAGCTTACGGTTAGGAGGCGTGTACAAATTACTTTGAGCACAGCCGTCAACTTTACAGTTAGCTGCAAACTATAATAAAGTAATTGGGAAACATGAATAATACTGAATCAGTGAGGAAAGTGAACGATGATATGCTCCGATGGCATCTCACTTGTGATAATAGTTGCAAATTTTAAGTCATTATATTCTTATTGAATTGATCTAAACCGAGGTCCTGTATCAGTTGGTTTTTGGCATGATCTAGATGCTTGACTGCTCAATGGCCCCAGCAAAATGCCGAATATACATGTAAGTCTATGAAGATATTCACCAGCATATATCCTCTCTATATGGGTGAAATATTCTCGCTTGGAACGTTAAACATCATTTAATCTGAATCAATCAAAATGAATTTGAGGTTTTCCGTCTATCCTGACAATTAAGGAACACACGGCGGGACTTAGCGGTGTGCTTACTTCCGGTCTCCATGGCATCTGATCCTTGGTCGGTTTCCAGAGGTCCGTGTTTGCTCTGCCCACAAATTTTATTGTTTACATGGACCTTTGAAATTGATCTCCGTAAAGGTATCTTACATTTCATGTATTAAAAAAATGTTGAAAAGAATGCTTTGCTTTGCCAGCAAAACGAAAAAGACAAAGAAAGACATTTTAAGGAAGCAATCCAATACCCCTGTAAGTTGAACAAATTTATGCCAATTAATTATTATCATTCTGAATACGACCCCAGGGAATATTTTAGTTAATTAAGATCTTGCGAGGAATTTTGAGGATTTCCAGGCTTTATATGAATCTAATGTCTGATACGGAATAGAGAAGATATTTATCTTATATCAACTGAGAAAATGTCTTGGACCTTCTATCGAGATGAAAATGAATTGAGTGGATATCTTGACTTATAACAATTAAGTACTATTGTAGGGCATACCATGACTTGTTTCCGTAATACACGATATAAGGCCGAAGGCTTTGGAGAATACATTGCAGTTCTTTAAATATTTACCTAATATCTGGTACAGACAATGGCAATTACAATCATCAGATTTGCCCATCACTTTGGTCTCTGCTGCCTGCACGTTTTGGAGTGGACGATTTGTACATGGAGCGAAGAGGGTTGTTCTTGAGCTATTTCTACGTCTCTACGCCAGTTTTAAGGGAAAAAGAAACAAGCAATTGCAGAGGATCCCATAAAATCAATTTACAATAATTTTTTAATACTTTTCTTATATATTCATAAGTAACAATCATTCTTTTGCAGAATGCTTAATAATTTGTCTATGTCTACAAATTACCATACTGCGCTATGGTGTAGTATTAATTTGTCTGCCCTGATTAGCTGCAATAATGTAACCCTTTCCGATAATTATGTTCGTAGGTGTTTTCCTTAAAAACAGATTCCTGTCAAAAGTATGAGAATTTAACAAAATTAAAAATGCATGTTTTTAAAGGGTTATTTCATTTTGAAAATAATAACATGCGCTGCAAAAGCAAAACTTACCATATGAAGAAACATGACATTCTTTTCCTTGAATGTTCGCGTTCATGCCTATCATAGTGCACATGAGGAAGAATTTAATAAAACCCGGGAATTTAACCCATGAAGACGGAAATTGTCGCTAATATGGTGTTGAAATCGTGACCTCTTCTTGAAATATTCAATTGGCATACTATAGGAATAGTTTTACTATTTTACAGTGAAAATAGAGCATGGAACATTGTTGCAGAGACTGGGCGAATATGCTTATCTTATGTGTTCCATGTATGTTACCCATGTAGCCGATGCGATTTAAAAAGCCAAGGATAAACTATATATATAGCTAACTGCTGTTGGTTATGTTGCAATATGAATGAAATCGCTTTAACGACGCACTATTGGAATATAGAAATATATGGATAAAAGAAACTACAGTCCAAATATATGATGTTTTTAAATTTCTTTTCACGTTAGCAAAGAAATTCACTTTTATAGTAGACAATGGTTCAATATCTATATTTACTGTTTCAACGGGGACATAAGTTCTATAGCAGGTGATAAGTATATATATATTTGATACATTGATTTTGATAGTATAATCTGGAGATACTTGCTGTGGCCTTCAACTCGACACTAAGATATGACGTATTGTCATCAACAATGGTAATTTCCATTCCTTTGTCAATACTATATATCCCGGTGAGCTAAAAGGTACCACCAAGTCTGTTTCATGTTTTGATATTTAATTTGAGAAAGACGTTAATGTTAATCTAACAACCAAGCTCTATGATAAACGTGATGACTTTAACTTTTCTACCGTCAGCTTCCCTTACTAATGTAGCAATACACCTTGCTCATTTGCATACGGAGTTTATGTATCTCAGTTGATTCGATACACAAGAGCATTCTCTACGTACGAACATTTCCTTAAACGAGGTTAATTCAAAAACAAGTTGATGAAACAAGAATATCAGCAGTCTCGTTTAAAGTTATCATTTGATAAGTTCTGTGGTCGATACAATGACCTTGTCAGCTAATACAATTTATCATTGAGTCAAATGCTGACTGACGTTTTTCATACTAATTGTTAGTCCATTATTTATACACTGAATTTACGGATTTATCCGTATATTTCCCAATCATGAAACGGAGCACACTGCGGGTGTGACCGGTCGCAGGGGATACTCACTCCTCCATGACACCTAATCCCACCTCTGATGTTTTGGAGGCCCGTGTTTGCTCTGATCTTATTTTGATTGTTTTGTGGACTTTTGATCTTGAGTACTGTTCGTTATCTCCATATGTTTCATCCCTCCTCCAGTTAATTGCTAAGACAATCAGTTTAGTAGTAAAAGTATGTTCTCTTCATATTTATTCTTCAGTGATTTAATAATGAAGCGCACTTCCCACATATGCCCAATTTTTATTATCTTGACAAAGACCAATTCGGCTGACCGAGTTGTCATCTCAGCAAAGTGACCATGTCTACTTTTAAAATAGATATCTTTGCAAAGACAGTTTGTCAAATATCAAAGTCGTGGAAAAGAAGTATTTTGAAAACATACATTTGAACTAGTTTCTTGATATCATCATTCAATATTACAATGCAAGGCCACACAATGTTCTTCATACATTCATTCGTATTGCACATAAGCAACATATTTAGTTTTGTTTTCGGTTTTGTTAATGGCCTTAGTTTTCTGAGATTACCTCGAATCTTGGAACACTGAGACGTGAGCACATCAAGATGTTATCCCTGAATATGTGTGCATAAATATTCCTGCACATCTGCTAAAAGTAAGTAAAACTATTCGCTTTAATTTCTTCAAGTACAGCAGAAACACTAATGGATCATTTTTGAGGGGGGGTAAACAGGAAAAATGAGTAGAAAATCATTTATTTTTATGATATTTTCTCCAAGAAGGTGATTTGTTAGGACAGAATGAAACGAAAATTATTCTCATGACATTAGTTACGTGGTAAAAAAGGGAAAAATACCCAATTCCAATTATTATCCTAGAATCCCGAATAAGACATTTCCAATGAGAAGGATTCACAGTTTCAAGTTTTCGGATATTCAGATTTGTTCTGGTACAGACATTTAAACAATACAAATTCTTTTGCAACAATGACTTTATCAGAGGACGTGCACTATTGTGAACATTCACATACACTTAATTACTCCTTCAACCGAATAACATATACATTATGCTGTTGAAGTATGGAAAGTACCTAGCTACTCAAGTATATGACGCTATCTTCCCCTTATGACCAGTCTATAAATACGTTAGGATATGAGGAAATAGTTTCACTTTAACTCCATGGACCTACTGATAGGTAATGGCTTATTCTTTTAATTTTAAGTAATTATCCAAGATCAGGTATCTCGTATACATAAAGTGGTCACCTAGATGTATAATAGTTACTTTAAGCAATGCACATTGCCTGATCATTTTCGTTTTCCTTTAAATAACACTAAGGGCTTTCGTTTTTGTTATCAAGTCAAATAATATCTAGCCGCGTGTTGTTTGAACTTTTAAGGTGGGATTAGGCGGCTTTCAGAGGAGGATCAAAACGAAAATAATTCTTTTTCAAAGAAGTTTCTCGGCTGTCATTTTTTTTTATTATGCTAACTTGCGTTCGTCTCTGTTTTGCTAGTGTGAATTTTAACTTTCTGAAGTTAGATCTGAGTCTTTACTGTAGGTATGTATTGTCTAAAAGTAATAACTGTAAATAACAGGTAAGTGCATTGAAATCACTATTGATTGATGAAAAACATTTTACATTCATGTCTGAAATCCTTCTGCAAGAAAAAAAGTTCCAAAGAAAACTCCTTTTCAATGCATTTGACTCTCCGTCTTTAAACAACATTATACTAGGTTGTGTATTTTATTTGGATAAAAATGATTATTAACACACATTTTTGAAAGCTATTAATCTTTTCCTTTTGAAATCATAATGCTTATTAGTGTATCCCTTAAAGGGAAATATCTCGATTATAAATATACGTGATATTTTTTTAATTATATTTTTCAGGATCTGAAAGTCCCCATTGTTCTCTGATGAATGACATTTCTAAATTCAATTCCTTCACTCAAAAACACTTTCTTTTTTCCTTTATATTTTTAATTTTTTTTTCCTTTATATTTTTTATTTTTCTGTTACTCCCCGATCATGACAAGAAGCACAATGATGGTGTGACCGGTCGGTAGGGGATGCTCCCTCCTTCATGACACCTGATCCCACCTCTGATTTTTTGCAATTCCGTGTTTGCTCTGATTATTTTGTATTGTTTTGTGGATTTTTGATCTTGAATACTGTTCTTAATTTACATATGTTTCATCAAGGACCCCTGAAAACATTAGAGATGGGGTCAAGTGCCTTGGAAGAGTAAAAAAAAACCCTGTCGACGTGCAGGATTATGATCGGATAAATGGACTAATCTGTAGACAATTTAGGAGGAAACTATATCTCTTCAATATGTACTTATACGCCTGTCAGCATTCTGTGTAATGGAGAGTGACTGCCAACAATGCTACTTTAGAAGCCATAGAATTTCAGATATATTGACTTCAAATAACATTCTTGATATGCTTTTAAAAGTAATTTATTTTTTATGGAATGATTATGATGTAGCATTTTCTCTGTTGTGTTTAGGTATTTCTCTTCTAAAAAGACATAGATGATGGATTCTGATGAATATAAGTTTCGGCCTGATAGGAAGTTTCAGGGATTAGCAGTGGTGATTGTAAACTTTACAGAAGAGAGAAGCGGCTCTAAGGAGGACATCACCTACATGAAAAGAACGTTTGAAATACTGGGATTTAAAGTGAAATTCTACGAAAATCTAAGTAAACGAAAGTTTATCGAGGTTATAAACTATTGTAAGTGATCATCAATTTTTGGTAAAATTGAACACACGGAACTTTAAAGGCTACAAATATGTTAAAAGTAAATGCTGATTAACCATAATCAAGATCCTATCAGATACCTAGTTTGATCCTATATTTTTGTATTTTTTGTGTGGTGAAGTAAATAACTTAAATTAAGATATTTTCTCTGTAGATTCCAAAGATGGTACACTGAGAGACTATGATAGTTTTGTGTTTGTCATAAGTACACATGGAGCGGGGCTAGAGAAGGTGGAAAAGGCTGAGACAGACTACGTCGTCCATCATCACGCCCTGCTAACGAATGATGACCAGTACTATTACACCGCCACAATGCTGGACAAGTTTAGAAAGTGTAAAGCACTTAAAGGAAAACCTAAACTTTTCTTTATTCAAGTAAAGTGTTTTTTATGAAATAAATATATACAGGCGTTCTCATTGTTAAAAACTGTCAAAATACAGGGAACAATAATATTTTCTGTAGAAATTGTATGGTTAACCGAAGTCAATCTAATGAATAAAGATAATAAATTTTGTATACGGTTTTTTGACTTGATATTGGTTGTCCTTAATGCATCGATCTACGATGGCTGATATGGGCCATCAAGTTACAAATAAGAGAAACTTTTTTTATATAGGAATAATTGATCGACTTTAATATCATTACCAGTGCCACTTTGTACATATACAGCTTCGTCAATGGCAAAGTGCTTTTATCTCAAGACAAAAAACGTTTGAGATATTTTGATAAACGTTATATAGTCTTTTACTTAATTTTCAGGCTTGTAGAATTCCTGAAAGTAAGTCGTCTAAACAGCAACGAGTCCAGGGGATTGGATTTGATGCAGGTACAGGTCTCCAAAGACTTGATCTAGAGGACCAAAACAAAAATAAAAGTAAACGTGACGAGACTGACGATAAAGAGGAGTCGGTTATTCTGAGAGAGGAAGGCAATGGTATGAAGGAATATTCCGTTGAACCTTATTTCTTGAACTTAATTTTGATGCAGAATGTAAAATAAAAGAATGGGTAACAGTGTACATATTTTATTAGTCTTATTAAAATACTAAATAGATATTTTATTCAATACAGTGAAGTTAACTGTTTTAAAGGCATATATAATTGCTAAGGTTCAAATTAAATTACTCATAATTTTTGTGGAATTTTGTATATTCCCAAAACTTTTTCAAGTAACAAACATGATATGTAGGTTGTGTATGTGTGTGAATTGGAATTCTGTGGGGGTTAAATTAAGAAGGCATATTTTCTGTGTAGGTTTAGATTCTGATCCATATAGTCTATCAGAGGTGGATAATGGCGCTACTGAAACTGCAGTGGTAAGATTTATCTCCTAGTCATTAAAACTAGAACCCCTACCAAAGCCGTGCGACTTCAGAATATTTTAATGTAAACAGCATATAATTAATAAACATATTTTCTATTAAAGAAATATTCCTTTAATATCAGGCATCTTTCCCTGATAATAGCGAGAATGAGGATAACTGGAGTATTTCTGAAGGAGCCTTGTTGGATCCCTCAACAGACATTGGAGAATTAGGTGACGAGGTAGACCCTCCTCGTGCTATTCGATATCGACCTGTAGAGTCTCCTCTCCATATCACGGCTGTTCCATGTTACAATGATATGCTGATCGTATTTGCTTCTCCTCAAGGTGAGAATTCATATTAATTTACAAGGACCACCTTAATTAGTCAGTTAATTGCTGTCACTTTTTAAACAACGTATACAATTTTTGAATTTTAACAGCAATGCGTTAATTACAGTGGATCGAGCCTCATTTATCTGGACGCTTTGGTTCCTAGACAATTTTTCCGGATATGTGAAGCGTCCGGATACCTAAATTACCAGTTAAACAAGACAAAATAACGTTGAAAAATTCCGTTCCCATGAAAAATCATCCGGATATCTGGCGTCCAGATATCTGAAGGTCCACTGCAGTCAGTAACATATATGGTTAGCATCAGTTGATCAAAATTACCTGATCTCTGTCTTCTTCAGCGTAACCCAAAATTTCAGACAACTGACAAGAATGTTTTTCTTCGTTTTCTTTTGTGATTAATCTCCCGTGTCTCACGAATAATTATTTGGTTGAGCAACTTGTGTCGGTCGTAGAGTGGTGAATATACTCGGTATCTTCTTTAGAACCTTTGAGACTATTGGTACATGGTATCTATAAGTCTGAATTATTTTTTTCTTGGTGTCTGTCTCTTGGGGGTTTCAGGGATGGAACATGAACCATGCAAAAACCATTTTGAAAACATTTCTTTTTCTCCTGGAAATAAGCCAGTCAACTAATTGGCATGACTATAATGAGCAATAAACCCTTTATAAAAATACGAAAGTAAAGGCATTTTGTGGTAGAGTTTGTCCTTAAATTAGGAATAAGTTCATCAAATGCTTGGAATTCGCTTTATCTCTAAAAAGCCTTTAAAGTTTCTCATGCACATCTAGCAGACAATTTTTTTATAAGAAGCACTTAGATTTTAACAAATATCCTAGGGTCAACATTAGCTAACAAAGTTCTTGTTAATAGTTGATTAAATAAAAAAAAATATTCGAAAATGTTCTTCATTTATACTTTACTTATAAAAATTATTCCCCGAGTCTATCTTTCAAAACCGATGCTGGACTATGTTTTTCATACCAATACTGGAATTCCTTTTCACTTTTAAAATCTTATTAAGCAGTAGACATTTGGTATACAATTGTTTTACACGAAGGACCTCTAGTATAATTGTTAAATTCAACCCCCTAACTCCACTCCTCGGACCACAAATCGGAGATCCCGTTGGTCATTTATTGAAATTAATACTAATATATCATGTGCAGGTAGCAGCAAAATTTTCGCAGAATTATTATGACAAACTAGCCGAGCGATCATGATCAGGTCCAGCTCAGTTGAATACACAATGACATTTATATATTATACATAAACCTTGTTTCTTTTACTTTTGAACTTTAAAGCGCCAGGGAGGATGACTGTAGGGTCTTTGTCAAAGTTTTTAAATTCTTGAAAATGAATTAAAACAAGTCACAGAAGACCAAAGTGGTCATAGAAAGAGACACAGCAAGGTGAACAACAGTCTATGGATCTTATTTCAAAACAAAATCTGATATGTCTCCCCTTTCCATTTCAGGACACTATGCTCTTAGGAATCAAGAAATGGGCAGCTACATGTTGAAATATTTACACGATTCCGTAATTAAGCAATACGGCGAAGGCCAACTTTTAAACAATAGAAACAACTTCCTGTATATTGTAAACGACGTCGCAGCGAAGATGTCATCCACTGATTTCTATGACGGGACATACAAAAATGTCACATGTGTTGTTCATAAACTCTCAAAAGATATAATCTTTTCAAAAGGAGAAAATATGTGACATTGTAAGCTATAATAGTTACTTTGAAGATAAAGATTCTGAGGTATATATAGATAATTGCAAGAAAGTTTAATAATATATTGAATGCTACAATACTACTTATTATACCTCTACTGATTTTTCATTATATAAAAGTGTATCGATACATTTTGCTGATTTCCTGAAAATCATCGTGAATAACCGATTCCCTGCAAAACAGACTGATTCCCTGCAAAAAAAAAGTTCGTTTTTTTATGAACTGATACACACCTATTCGGAACACTTAGCATTTTCTTTAAACTTACGACAAACTTAGAAATGTTCCGAATAAACTTATGAATATTCATTAATGAATCGAAATGCATCGCGAGTCAACTCGTCCCATATCAATAAAAAAAAAAAACAGTTTACTGGTAGCAAACGACAACAGATATGGCGAGTATTGAATATAACTTTTTAAAATGTCTTGTTTGTATCGGTATAATAAAACAGTTAAAGTATATCATTGAGGGAGTCAGCAAGATTCCAGTTCCCCTCGAGCAAGCCTATTTTCCTCCGCGCAAGCGCCTCGGGAAATAGACTTGTTCTTGGGGAACTGGAATCTTGCTGTCTCCCTCAATGATATACTTTAACTGTATATTCATATACAATAGATATATTTCCAGATCTTACCTCAAAATCTTAACATTTTAAGTAAGCAATCAATATTGACGACAAAAAATTGTTTGACATCAAGATGTATTTTGTTGCAACTGTAAGAAAACAAATGTTTTATTGATTTTTGATCTAGTGTCTTCAGTGATTGTAAATCTAGTCCTCAAAATCATCTTTAGGCATATACAATGTTATGATTAATTAATTCTGTTAAACGTGAAAACGCTTATTTCATACTATTTCGACTATACAATTGCTGAGTTAAATGTTTGACTTACCAATATTCATTGTCTGGGAATTCTCAGTCTCTGATCTCTGGGATCAGGTGTCATGCAGGAGTGAGAATCCCCAGCTGACCAGACACATCTGCCATGTGCTCCATGTCATGATCGGCACAACGGTGAAAACAGAAAATGTTTAAACATTATGAAAAATGGCAGTCAGCATTTGACACAATGATAGATGCCTTTAAGGTCATTGTATCGATCAAACACTTCGCAATTTATTTTAATTAGAAGGTCATTGTATCGGTCAAACATTTGCATAATGATTATATATCAATCAAGACTGTCGATTTCCTTTTTTCTGCAACTTGTTTTACAATAGCTTGCATTATTAGGAAATCAGCCTGTACAAGATTTTTTTAAAATAAATTTTGCTTAATATGAAAACAAAAAATAAATCTGCAAACAGTATGGCGCAACTTTCCATCCATGGGGATGAAAAGCAAAGTAGAATTTTTTTCTCCATTAACTAAAATAATTTATTAACAAACTATAAATTTATTTTTTTATAGCATTATTGTTGTATTCAATACATTTAGAATGATCAATGAAAATGTTATTGAAAGTATGTTTTCAAATTTGAAAACCCCGTGGGGATCCGGGTTAGAATAGGTCCTCAGTACCCCATTGCTTGTCGTAAAAGGCGACTAAATGGGGCGGTCCTTCGGATGAGACCGTATAAACCGATGCCCCGTGTCACAGCAGGTGTGACACGATAAAGATCCCTCCCTGCTCAAAGGCCGTAAGCGCCGAGCATAGGCCAAAATTTGCAGCCCTTCACCGGCAATGGTGACGCCTCCATATCAGTGAAATATTCTGGAGAGGGACGTTAAACAGTATACAATCAATCAATCAATCAAATTTGAAAATGTAAACCATGTTTTGTAAAAGGAAACTATACATAGTACTTCCACATATGATAATGTTAATGAATATAAGTATCTTGAAAGATTTCAAAACATCTCTGCTTAGCTTTATAATTATTTTTATTCGTTAAATGCTTTTGGAATGAAAAAGTGTACGTAAATTGTTTCTCTATACTGATGGTCTCATCATCATCGTTGATCTTTTCAGTGCTTTGTGAAACCAACTATACCATTTGTTGTTTTTGTTACTCTTCATTGGAGACTGAGCATACAGTCCTTTCAGATTAGAACGATAACAGCTCTCATACCACCATCCTCCTATATAATGTACCGTGCAGTTAGAGCTGCTAAGACCATTGTCTTGGTCTTTGGTGGTAAATCTCATACCACTGTGATGGATAAGACTGTCATCTGAAAGTATATGCCATTAAAAAATCATTTAAAAGCAGTTATATCTGACTGGAAAATCCAAACCAGAGTACCATCTTGGAAAAAGGGTGTTTACTTTAGATTGTGTTTGGATTGATTGATTGATTGTTTGTATGTTGTTTTACCTCCCATACGAGAATTTTCACTCATATAGAGAGGTCATAATATACCTTTGAAGGGCTAAATTTTGACCTTTACTAAGTATTGAAGGCCATTGAACAGAGAGAGAGATCTGTATCCTGTCATCGCCTGTCGTTACATGGAACCTCGGTTTTATAGGTCTCATTCGAAGGACCTGCAACTTTTACTTCAAAATGCTAAGCTTATTGCAAAAGAACGGTTGCTATCTATTTTTATCGACGTAGGTCAGTCGCTGCCGATATTCAAACTCACGACCTTCCGATCCGAGTTAGCGCACTGCCTACTGAGCTATCGTGAACGGTCTAGAGAGGAGAAGCTTTTCAATGTGCTTCAAAGTAAGGGATAAAAAAAAAATAAAAAACAATTTACCTATTCCACTGTGCCCAGACACACTGAGTTTGTATTTACTTTCTTCGCCACCAACAGCAAAACTGGAGTACTTGGCATACCCTTTCTGACCATTAAATCTCTGGAGATCCACACGAAACTCATGTTTTCCATTCTTTGTGAGTAAATGTAAAGTATCGTTTCCTGTAGAGAAAAGTTAAGAAATCTAATGTTATTATAAGTTAGTTGAAATGGAACGTAAAGATAATGAACACTGATCTTGATAAGGGATCAACTGAAACAATACAAATTGTAAGCAGAATCAAAATAGTCCTCTGGAAACGGAAGCTAATCAGGTGCCATATAAGAGTAAACATGTTGTTTCCTATTAGTTTCCTATCGTGATCGGATAAACGGGAAAACCGTTGAAAATTCACAAAAAAAAACTATACATAGGTCAGTATTCGACTCAAAGACGGATAATGTTTACAAAAAAGGCTTTTTTGTAAACAGAAGAAATTATTATTGATGAGATAAGTGACACTCTCGTCACTTGATTTGTCTATCAATTTCTTTCTAAAAATATCCAAATATGAAACAAATTCGAAAGAACTGTGCAGTGTCTATAACGTAAGATTGAAAATGGTGTTCCATTAAGTAAGATTTTGAACAGATTGAAAAAGGAAGACATAAATTTCGAAAATAACATACTAGGCATTGTCCATGAGGACTAACATAACTTTTTTAAAACCAATTCCGGAGAAGCTGTTTAAATTGTAGAAGTCAGTCGTCGATTGTAAAAGTAAGTCTCTTCATAAAACTCCTATATGAAACTAAATGTTTTTCAAGTATCGGTTCGAGTATTTGTGATAAAGAATTAATCCGTCTCCGAAGTAGAATCAATATTTTAAAAAAATGCATTTGGAGATGACCACAGACAAAGTTTGTATATTTACCGTTACAAATCTTCTAGTTCTATTTGTATTTGAAGAAGTATTTATGTGATAAAGCAGTCTATAAATGATCAAGGGAATGGTTGTATAATACACCGAAAAGTCATTTTATAAAAAAAAAAGTTTTGTATTGTCAGTTCTAAAAGTTCCTTGTAGTTCTTGATTAAGGACAGACGAGACGTTCCTTAATAATAGATAAATTTTTCTAAGAGTTTGTTATTGAAGTATTGCTACTTAAACATGTTTACTCACCAAAACGTGAGGTACCTTACCAGGCATTTCTGCAAGATACCAGGGGTAGTTTTTCTTATATAATCCTTTGGAGAAGAAAAATAATTTTCCAATTTCAAATGTTGAAGTGTTTGGATTTTTTGAAAATGTTTAGAAACTTGTTTAGAAACCAGAATGTTATTAAAATTTTGAATATTTTTCATAGATTATGAAAATATACAAAACAGATTTTGAGGAACGTCTCGTCTGACCTTAAATATAGGGAGATAACGAAACCTACTCAAGCTCAAAAGTCCTATAGAAAAGTTAAAAGTCATCAAAAGATAATTGCACTAAAACATACATCAGATTGTAATTAATATTATCAATGAAATTAATGAAATTTCGTTGTAACTTATATAGATTCTTTTTTCCCATAGATACACTGAGGTTGCATTAATGCATACACTGTCAAGTACATGATTGAGACTGTTTTGGAAATTTAAAAACTGATCACTATAACACCGAGTTCTTTACGGATATTTTTTGTTTTACCAGTTTTCAGGGGATGAGGATGCATACTTATTCGAGACATCTGGTCCCAACTCTGATGTTTTCAACAGGTATATCTATTTGGCTTTTAAACTTCATTCATGTATTCCCTGTGCCAAGAACTTGCAATGCGTATAAATAAAATATATGAGGTCATTGATGAAATTGATTGACCAAAAAGAAAATAATGAAAATCATATATATAACGAACAGTATTCAATCTCAAAAGTCCATTTAACAATACAACATTGGAAAAGAGGAATCACAGAACTCCAAATCATCAGAGGTGTAATCAGGTCCAAGGAAGGAGTGGTAATCCCTTGCTGACCGGTAACACCCGTTTTGTGCTCCTTATCATGATCGGGAAATAACTGAAAAATCTGGCGACAACTCAGTGTGTAAATAAAGACCTTATTAGAGTAAAGAAAAGTCACCAGTCTGCATTTAACTTAATTGGTAAATTCTCACTCCTCCGTGGCACTTGATCCCACCTCTGATGTCTTGAGGTCCTTGTTTGCACTGCTCCTATTTTCTATTGTTTATGGACTTCTAAGCTTGAATATTGTTTGTTGTCTCAAAATACACTAGATAAAATTGCTAACGCACCACCAAATGAATTATATACTTTACTTATCGAAACTGGTTTATAATTTATTTGATATATACGAGGGTTGATCCAAACGTTCGTGGAATTTTTTTCATATCTTATTTATTTTTAAGTGGAATTGGTTGAAAATTACAAATAAAAATAGAGACACTTGATGAATACTTTAAATTAAAAAATAGTTTAAATATCTTTGATAGTAACTTTATGGCAGTTGCCATAAAAACGGTTGTTTGGAAATGCGGGAGACATTAACGCTTTTATTTTCATATTAATTCTTAATAAGTGAAATAAGAATTAAACCGCCCTATGTGGTATAAAAAACGAAAATTACGTCATAAATTACGATTACTTGATCTTTTATAAACTTTGTGTGAAATTTTTACTGATTTTACTGGATATTTAGTTTATGAGTTGATGATTTATTGTTCGTCTTTAAGTTGTTTGATCCAAAAGTTCGTGGAATTTCTTTCTAAAATTTTATCGAGATTTGATGAAAGGATACAACAGGCATATTCATAATATAGAGTCATAATGCAACATGAATGGAAAATTTCACCACTTTCCAATTACCAATGAAGTCACATGAGCTTTCTGAAAATGGATAGTTGTGAACCCGCGAGAGACTTCGACGTAACGTCAAGTTAGATACGTCATGTCACGTTATAGAAGCAACTCACCCTCATGTCCAATTTGAATTATAATTCTACTAAATGCTGTTCTTTTCTCCATTTTTTTTTTCTCAAGAAAAGCCTGGGTATCCTCTCGCACCAACTTATTTTCATTTTTCACTCATATTTCAGAGCTCGAGTACTCCCCATCTTTCCATATGATGTTCCAATCACAGTAGCAATGTCAAGAACAGAACGGCAGCCGACAAGGTCCATTAAAGCTTTTAATTTGTCTAAGGGTATATGCACTTAAAACAGAGCCTCCAAAAAAGACCACACCTTTAATCAACGTCCATGGAAGTTCTTTTTTCTTAAGTTTCTTTTGTTACTGGAAAACCTGTAACTAAATGGATTTTCCCCCAAACCTTTGCCAATGATATACGCGTTTAAGATAGGGTGATCCCGGAATTTTCACAAAACGTATGACTTGACCGAAATTTGACGTCGTCAAACAACTTAAAGATGAACAATAAATCATCAACTCATACACTAAATATCCAGAAAAATCAGTAAAAATTTCACACAAAGTTTATAAAAGATCAAGTAATCGTAATTTATGACGTAATTTTCGTTTTTTATACAACATAGGGCGGTTTAATTCTTATTTCACTTATTAAGAATTAATATGAAAATAAAAGCGTTAATGTCTCCCCCGCATTTCCAAACAAGCGTTTTTATGGCAACTGCCATAAAGTTACTATCAAAGATATTAAAAACTTTTTATTTAATTTCAAGTATTCATCAAGTGTCTATATTTTTATTTGTAATTTTCAACCAGTTCCACTTAAAAATAAATAAAATATGAAAAAATTCCACGAACTTTTGGATCAACCCTCGTATGTGTTTACGGCGGGTCTCTTTTCTGTGGCGATAGAAGTTATTTTGAAATGGGTCTCTGCAAGGAGGATGCTTAGCTTTTAATTTGAAAATGTAAAACAATATGCAGTGCATGAAAACAAATTGTAATTACATGTATTACATTCGAAAACTTGGTATACATACATGTATGTCAATTTTGTTTAGCAGTTAGATAGAAAAATAGTCAGTTATAGGATTTCCTTCAGACGCATCACATAAATAGAGATTGTTTGGGAAGGCACACATATTGTATGTAGTAATATGTTTGGACATAAAACACATCATGTAACAAAGTTGTGTTGACAAAGTTGTAAGCTCTCACCAACATACGAATTTTGATAAAATATATTTGAGTTTCTGTCAAAATTAGAAGAGAGCACAATGTTTGCAAAGAAAGGTCCATTGCCTATCTTCGATAAAAAGTGGAATGCTACCACTCCCCCCCCCCCCCCGAAAAAACCTATGTTTATATTTTTAAAAAAGTGCCAATTAAAGCTTCAGAAATTTTGCATCACTAAGTATGTGATGGAAAATATACTGGCCTTATATTGTTAAGACCACCTTTTTAAAAAATTGGCTTTTGGTTGCCTCCCTTGCGACCTACTGCCTAGAAATGGCCTAACTCAATGTTACTTTACAACTTATTAGTTATTACAGGATATTTTTTTTCCTTTTTGTTCTATCGACAAATTATTTAAATCTTTAGGAAAAACATTTTCTCACCTATAAATACGGGCCCAATAATTTTCCCTGAGTTGGGAGGACCACTGACCAAGCGTCGTTTTAAAGATGGTCTAAATTATTTAATTACGCTGATTTTTTTTCTTTACTCCGTAAAATTGTAATTTTGACAACATGGGCAAATAGTTTTAAAAAAGTGGTTTTTTTCAGTGTACGTTATATGTGTCAGACTTACAAACTCTTAATTTTTAACCTCGATGGTACTAATTTTTCCTTGCCTGCAATCAAAGTTTAAGATTTTTTTTATAATATCAACGATTCTTATTTTAAAAGTGTTCATATTATTTGAAACATTTGCAACTGTAATTGTGTACTACTTTTTAAGATTATTATGTACCTCCATGTTAAGAAGAGGTCTGGCAAAAAGCATTTTGTGCTAAACATAGACCACGTGCTGCTATCCATGAACTAGATGAATGGTTCTTTACACTCATTTTGAAGACAACAGTACCTTGTTTTGAACTTGAAATTACCATTTAAAAGTGCAAAATTAGACATTTTCTCAACAAATGGTTGTAGAGAGAACATTAGAGCACAAGTTGCATTTTTTTTGTTTGTTGATTTTTTTAAGGCTCTGCCGAATTCTGTAGCTGCACAGTTCTATGGAACATTCCAAAAGCATTTTTCTGCAAAGGTATAGATTATATACACAACATGCATTTAATTATGCATTAATTTATTATTTATATATCTTTATCATAAAGTCGTAAAATTTGATCAAAATATTATGTATTTAAGCCATTTGAAGAAGTGTTTACATTTTGTTCCATTTGTGACCAACATTTTTTGAAAGGATAAATTTCTAATTTTTTCTATGGTTTTTTGTTCTTTATGTTTGCACTAATCACATAATCAAAAAATAAATACGACATACGCAGCATTTGATCCTAAAAGATCGTAATAAAACAGACAGTATGGAGTCTGCAGGGGTTCCTTTGGAAAGATTGGCAAAAAATTAAAACAATGAAAAGAAATATCTAAAAATATATGCTAACTGTATACCAAAATATAAATCGTGGAAATCTCAGTCAGAATATTTTTTCTTTTAGCTCACCTGAGCCGAATGCTCAAGTGAGATTTTCTGATCAAAATTTGTCCGTTGTCTGTCGTTGTCGTTGTTTTGTTGTCGTTGTCATAATTTTTTTTTTACATTTTCATCTTCTTCTCAAGAACCACTGGGCCAATTTCAACCAAACTTGCTACAAAGTATCCTTTGGTCAAAGGGATTCAAGTTTGTTCAAATGAAGAGCCATGCCCTCTTTCAAGGGTAGATAATTATGAATAAGTGAAAATTTAATGGACTTTTTAAAAAATCTTCTTCTCAAGAACCACTGGGCTAGAAAAGATGAAACTCATGTGGAATCATCTTCTGGTAGTGTAGATTCAAATTTGTTCAAATCATGACTCCCGGTGGTAGGGTGGGGCCACAATGGCCGATCAAAGTTTTACATGGAGTATATAGGAAAAGAAAAAATCTTCTCCTCAAGAACCACAGGGCCATGAAAGATGAAACTCATATGGAATAATCTTCAGGTAGTGCAGATTCAAGTTTGTTCAAATCATGACCCCCGGGGGTAGGGTGGGGCCACAATGGCCGATCAAAGTTTCACATAGGAGTTTATAGGAAAAATCTTTAAAATGTTTTTTTCTCAAGAACCACTGGGCCAGGAAAAAATGAAACTCATGTGTAATCATCTTCAGGTAGTGTAGATTCAAGTTTGTTCAAATAATGACCCCTGGGGGTAGGGCGGGGCCACAATGGCCGATGAAAGTTTTACATAGGAATATGTAGGGAAATCTTTTTAAATCTTCTTCTCAAGTTCTTCAAAGCCATGATTAGTGATATTTATATGGAATCAACATCCTTAGTGTTGATTTTAGTTTGCTCAAATCATAAGCTAATGATCCCCCCCCCCCCGGGAAAGGTGGGGCCACAAAGGTCGATCAAAGTTTTACTTAGAAAAATAAGGGAAAATAAAATAAAGGAAAAATTCCAAGAAAAGGAAAGCTGTGATAAGTCATATTGACATGTAAGCATCCTCATGTATTGAAGATTTAAATTTGATCAAGGCATGGTCTTTAGGGTACGGAGGATAGGACACCCCCCCCCCCCACCCTCAGTAAAGTTTTCAGTTCTGACCTGATCTGTGCTTTTTCCTAGACGATGTGCTCAGGTAAGCGATGTGGCTCCTTGGCCTCTTGTTTATAGTTTGAATGTATTTTTGTACAAATTTCAGCCAGTCAAGGAATAATATAATATTTATGACAATTCTACCGTGAACAACACGACTTGAAAGCTTAGAAAACGTTTTAAGTTTGATTAAAAATCTGTCACCAGGAGGTAGCAATCCCAAAAGTTTAAATTAAGTTAAAAAATTAATATAAACGGAAAAGTTTGAGTTTGTAGAGCCTGACATAAAAATTTTATCGAATGGATAAAAGCATTCATTATTTTTGAGTGTTTATAACAAACCCGTCCATACAGTTTTTGGCATGCGAGGTAAGATATTTTGATTAAACACTTTCATGTTTAATTATTGACTTTTCTCAACGTTTTATACGCACTTCTTTCTGCCCATTTAAAGTCTGCATATCTTTGTATTCGGCGATCATGAAATCCGTTATATTTTAAAACTACATGCATGTAGTCCATACGATTAACGTTGTTTGAGGTGGATCTATAGACATAGTTTAAAAGTACGAGGGGCGTTCAATATGTTTTGTCCCTTATGGATTTCAATATAAATTAGATCAGTCGTTTCGGGATCTGGTCATCCAGGAATGAATATATCTTTTATTGAAATTGTGTCAAAATTTGGAACAAGTCCGTGCACTCTGAAACACACACTTACATTTGCAACTGACCTACCCGAATACACTGGACATCAATTATAGGTAAAACACGAAGTTTGGTGTCACTTGAAATAAGAAGGTATATTCTTGTTTGTTGTGACATTGGTATAGAACGGTATGAAATATATGAAGAAATTGTTCGGATATATGTTGGGTCTATTATTTCAAAAAAGACAGTTTACAGATGGGTAAGCAAGTTTAAGAGTTGTAGAACACGTGTTTCCGACGACAAGCATTCAGGAAGACCACCAAGAGCAGTCACCAAAAGTAATGTTTCTAAAATCCGTGATATTCTTAAGACAGATGCACGACTTACCATCAAAGAAATAGCAAGACGTGTAGGAATTTCAACGGGCAGTGTTTTTACTATTTTAAATGGCTTGGTAGTCCAATATGCAGTACTACAGTGCAGAAGTGTGACTGGAAATATGTATTCTTCAAGTATAATTCCGGGACTTTATAATTTTTTACAAAAAGACGACCTAATACATGTTTGAGAGGAATAAAAATTCTGCATGACAATGCTCCTGCCCATAAAGCAAAAGTTACTAGAGACTATTTACAGCGTCACAAAGTTGTCAAACTTCCGCATCCTGCATATTCACCTGATCTTTCGCCTTGTGACTTTTTCTTGTTTCCAAAACCTAAAAAAGCTCTCTCTGGAAGACGTTTTCAATAGCGGTCAGCGCTGGGATCAGCTATTTTTCCGTATTTAAGGGGTATACCTCAAAATACTTTCAAAAACGTGTTTTTTGACTGGATTAAACAACTTCATCTCTTTATTAAATACGAGGGAGATTAGTTAGAGGGAATGCAATAAAAGATTTAAATTTCTATTTTGTTTTTGTTGCTGTAATATGGTTTGGACAAAAAATATTGAACACCCCTCAAAAATCGGATGGCTTAGCAAAATTATACTTATATACAAATAGTATATTCTGGTAAATGTTATAATTGAATTTGATTGATTAATTGTATATTGTTTAATGTCCCTCTCGAGAATTTTTCACTCATATGGAGACGTCACCGTAAGCCGGTGAAGGGCTTCAAATTTAGACCTATGCTCGGCACTCAGGGCTATTGAGCAGCGAGGGTTCTTTATTGTACCAGCGCCTACCGTGACACGGGACCTACGTTTTTAAGGTCACATCCGGAAGACCCGTGACTTTCACTTCTGATACCGAGCGCTTGGCGAAGGAACAGTCACTACCTATTTTTACGTCTTAGGTTTGACGCGGCGCCGCGAACGAGAATCGAACCCGGGCCTCCCGATCACGAAGCGAACGCTCTACCATTAGGCTACTGTGAACGGCAAATAATTGAATTTGATAAGAACTTGCCGGTGCGATTTATTCTTCCGAAAACGATTACATTGTATGATGCCTCATTTTTTACCGAGTTAATAATATCAAGATTGTTCACGGTAACTATGTGGGGAATACCTTATTATTCAAATGCTTTCGTCTTACTTCTAAAGATTTTTTGTTAAAAAAAAAGCTTTTGTGGGGAAAAAAACAAAAGCACGTGTTTTCTTTTTGTTCTTTTAAATTAGGTTTTGGAATATGTAAAAATGCTGTTTTCTGATTGGACGGAAAAATAATAGCGTTTTCACGATGTTTATCTATAGCAACTTTAGTTTATCCTTCTTGATTTCCATATTTGGAAATCGTCCAGACCTGTTTAATATGGTTGAAACGTCATTCGTGATTACTTTAAAAGAGACTGTTGATATACTTGTTTCATTCAATTTGTTTGACAATAGCGTGCCTCGTTTAAGAAATTTAGGATGCTCCTGCGTATTGAAACCAGAAGTCTCTGTCTAGACTGTAGCTCTACTGGTTTGTACTTATCAAAAACCATTGCACTATTTTATGTATCTTTGTGTAGTCTACTTGTGTGCCAACTTAGACCAAAACTGTAGAAGGAGTTGCGTTTTAAAGGAATTTCACAGAGAATTCTATTTTTAGTAACCATGGCAACACCGTTCATCGAAATCAAAAACCGATGCACTATTCTATGTATCTTAGTGTAGTCTACTTGTGTGCCAAGTTATATTGAAATCAGACCAAAACTGTAGAAGGAGTAGCGTTTTAAAGGAATTTCACAGAAAATTCTATTTTAAGTAACCGTGACAACACCGTTCATCGAAATCAAAATCCGATGCACTATTCTATGTATCTTCGTGAAGTCTAATCGTGTGCCAAGTTATATTGAAATCAAACCAAAACTGTAGAAGGAGTAGCGTTTTTAAGATATTTCACTGAAAATTCTATTTTTATTAACCATGGCAACACCGTTCATCGAAATTAAAAACCGATGCACTATTCTATGTATCTTAGTGTAGTCTACTTGTGTGCCAAGTAATATTGAAATCAGACTAAAATTGTAGGAGGAGTAGCGTTTTGAAAAAATTGTTTACAGACAGACGGACAGACAGACAGACAGACGGACGGACGCCGGACGCATTACTATCGCATAAGCTCTTCTGGTCTCTGACCAGTAGAGCTAAAAAAAAAACTGATAGACATTAACCCTATACATGTAATAAGAGTATATTATTATAAAAAGGGAAAGTTGAAGTCAATAGTTATAAAGCTTGACTGGTAGTTTATCATTAACGCCCTTTTTCAGTTAAATATCAAAATATGAAACAAATGTGTCAGCTTGTGTGTTACTTTTCATTTCAAGCTCACTGTGATATAGCAAGTTCCACATATGAGTGAAAGTAACTAATTGTTAATGTTGAATCTGTCGTCTAAATGTGGATTTGGAGCGCACGGCAAGTGTTTCCGTCTTTCATTTCACTTTAAAGTTACTCAGTATTTCTACTAAATTCTGCTTCATATGAAATCTAACATAGTTCTTATAACAACAGGGTGTCGTGGGAATTAAAGCAAAGTTGATTTATTACTTTTGGTAACTATTCGTGGCATCTCATTTTTAATTCTTGTATTCAATTCAATAACACATAATAAAGTAAAAAATAGTACCAAATTATGTACTGTTCTCAGAATCTTACAGTTCTTCGGAATTGTTTTTGTCAGAATTATTGAAGTATTATTAGATTTAGAATGATCATAGATAAATGTTAGTGATACTATGTTTTCAAATTAGAAAATGTTAATAATGTTTTGCAAACGAAAACTTTATCTCAGTTGATTCGATACGCAAGAGCATGCTCTATATATGAGAATTTTCTCGAACGAGGTAAATTATTGACAAGCAAGTTGATGAATATCAGCATTCTCGTTTAAAGTCATCATTTCGTAAGTTCCATGGTCAATACAATGACCTTGTCAGCAAATACAATTTATCATTAAGTCAAATACTGACTGACGTTTTTCATACTACATGTAACTGTTAGTCCATTATTTATACACTGAATTGACGACGGATTTTTTCCGTTATTTCCCGATCATGACAAGGAGCAAAGGCGGGTGTGACTGGTTAGCAGGGGATGTTCACTCATCCATGGTACCTGATTTCCACCTCTGATGTTTCAGAGGTCAATGTTTGCTCTGCTCCTATTTTGTATTGTTTTATGGACTTTGATATTGAATACTTTTCCTTACCTCCGTAACCTTCATCCTCGTTTATGGATATATGTGATCTAAAAAGATTTGAAAACATATATTTGCTTTATATATAAGTTTATTTACTCCTTGAATAAATTTCTTCTCTATACTGATGGCCTCATCATCATTGTTGATCTTTTCAGTGCTTCATTAAACCAACCACGCCACGTATTGTATTTGGGATCCTGAATTGGCGACTGAGCATACAGTCCGTTCAGATCAGAATGATGACAGCTCTTATACCACAATCCCTCTTTATAAAGTACCGCGCAGTTAGAGCTGTAAAGATCATTGTCTTGATCTTTTGTGGTAAATCTCATTCCACTGTGATGAATGAGACTGTCACCTGAAAATATATGTCATTATAATCAATAGACGTACCGGTATCTTACTAAGAAATCCAAACCAGCAGGCATGTTCATGAAACTTCCCTAAGAAGGATATGGAAATAACGAACAGTATTCAATCTCAACGTCCATTAAACAATATACAAAATAAGAGCAGAGCAAACACGGACCTCCGAAACATCAGAGGTGGGATCAGGTGCCATGGAGGAGTGAGCATCCTAAGATCCTAAGATCAGTCCTAAGATTATTCCTAAGATGTGACTTAGGAAGAGAGATGGGAACATCCTAAGATCAACTTAGGACATATCATAAGATGTATCTCGATGGTAACTTAGGAACGTCTTAAGTTAGGACATCCTAACTTACAGTGAACACTTGATTCTAAAACATTTATAGATAAATATATAATTTTGGAGACATTTATAGCACCCCCCTCTTAAAACACATAACATTAAAAAAGGAAATCCATTTAAATGTACATGTGTCCTCATTATGTTTTAATCTTAGCATTTTGTAAATTATTAAATATTTAATACCGCTTGTAAATTGCATTGAAACAAACAACTTATACTTAATTTATACTTATTTATAGCTCAAAAAATTTAACCTCTCCCTGATCTACCTCGATGCAAAAATGTTGCAAAGAAGAGGCCTTTGGGTAACATTTCCTTTTTTAATTATTTGTGTAAACACCAGCTCACACAAGAAATGCAGAGAAACAAGAAATTGTCGCTTGCAATGTTTAAAATCATAAGCATCACAACAAATTTAGGATGATCTTATGAGAAGTGTTTTGTCGTCCCAAAGTTGGGGAAAACTTACGCAAGTTCCTAAACTTTGGAAAGCTTCGAGAAATTGACTTAAGACTAAGAGATTTCTTAAGACGTTCTTAGGACACATCGTAAGATCGTGAACATGCCTGCTGAGCACGATCTTAGTAACAGAGTATTTACTTTAGAAAGTGATTTGATTTAGTGATTGTATGTTGTTTTACGTCCCATACAAGAGGTGACAATAAACCAGCAAAGAGATTTATTATTTTACCTTCATTTGGCATCCAGGGCAACTGAGCAGTGAGGGATCTTTATTCAGCCAACGCCTGTCGTGACATGGGACCTCGATTTTATAGGTCTCATTCGAAGGACCCACAGCTTTTACTTCAAAGTGCCGACCGTCAATGGAAGAGTTTTATCAATTTTGGTCAGCCGATATTCGAAGTCACGACATTCCGATCATGGATTAAACGCTCTGCCTACTGAGCTACCATGAACGGTCTAGAAAGGGGACACATTTCAAAGTGCTTTAAAGTAAGGGATAAAATGAAAAAAATATATATATAAATTACATTACCTATGCCACTGTGCCCAGACACACTGAGTTTGTATTTACTTCCTTCCTCACCAATAGCAAAACTGGAGTACTTGGCGAACCCTTTCTGACCATTAAATCTCTGGAGATCCACTCGTAGCTCATGCTTTCCATTCTTTGTGAGTAAATGTAAAGCGTCGTTTCCTGTAGAGAAAATATAAGAAAATATAATCTTATTATAAGTCAATTGAAATGAAACGTAAAGATAGCGAACAGTGATCTTGATTAGGGACCATTTGAAATAATACAAATTTCGAGAAGAATCAAAATGGTCCTCTGAAAACGGAAGCTGAATCAGAAGCCATATAAGAGTAAGCATCTCCTGTCGGATAGTCACATCTTGTCAAAGCTGTTTGTTGAAAAATTACAACAAAAATTAAATATATATATATATGTATACGTAAGTCAATATTCGACTCAAATACGGATAATATTTACAAAGAAGTTTTTTTTGTCAAAAGTAGAATTTACTATTGTGGGATAGGTGATATTCTCGTCACTTTATTTGTCCATCAATTTCTTTCTCCATAAATATCCAAATACGAAACAGATCCAATAAAAAAAACTGTGCAGTGTGTGTGTTAGACGTACGATTGAAAATGATATTAATTAATAAAAAGTCGATATGAAGTTTCAAGAACAGGTCTGCTACATGTGTATCACTTGGATTCAATACGTAGGTTGAGTATGATTCCATATAAATATCACTAATCGCAGCTTTGAAGTATTTGAAAAAAGAAGATTTTTAAACGTTTTCCTTATATATTCCTATGTAAAACTTTGATCGACCATTTTGACCCGACCCTACTCCTGGGGTCATGATTTTTGAAAATTTGAATCTACTCTACCTAAGGATAATTTATCATGAGTTTCATCTTTCCTGTCTCAATGGTTCTTGAGAAAATTTTTCCTATATATACCTATGTAAAACTTTAATCAGCCATTTTGCTCCCCACCCTAGCCCCGGGGGTCATGATTTGAACAAACTTGAATTTACACTACTTGAGGATAATTTTACATGAGTTTCATCTTTCCTAACCCAATGGTTCTTGAGGAGATTTTTGAAGATTTTTCCTATTCATTTTGGCCCCTACCCTACCCTCGGGGTCATGATTTTGACAAACTTGAATAAATACTACCTGATGATGATTCCACTTGAGTTTCATTGTTCCTGGCCAAGTTGTTCTTGAGAAAAAGATTTTAAAATATTTTTCGTATACATGTTTATTCCTATGTTGATCAGTCATTTTGGTCCCACCCTATCCTCAGGGGTAATGATTTTAACAATTTAAATCTACGCTACGTTAGAATGATTCCACATAAGTTTCATCTTTCTTGGCCCAGTGGTTCTTGAGAAGAAGATGTTCTAAAAATGACATATTTTTTTCTCTATTTCATAATTATCTCCCCTTTGAAAGGGCATTGTCCTTCATTTGAATAAACTTGAATCCCTTTTATCAAAGGATACTTTGTAGCAAGTTTGGTTGAAATTGGCCAAGTGGTTCCTGAGAAGGAAATGAAAATGTAAAAAGGTTTACGACGACAACAACAACGACAACGGACAAATTTTGATCAGAAAAGCTCACTTGAGCCTTCGGCTCAGGTGAACTAATAAAGGGAGAAAACGAACCGTATTCAAGCTCTTAAGTACATATCCATTACTGCATAAGTAAGGGAAGTTGACTATAGAAAAGTTAAGGTTATCAAAAATAATTGCAGTAAAACATTTATCAGAGTGTACTTAATCTTATCAATGAAATTTCATTGTAATTTATATAGATTTTTTCCCCCAGAGAGACATGGATGTTGCATATAGGTTGCAAGTATATGATTGAAAATGTTATTGAAATTTAAAAGCTGATCACTATAACACCGAGTTCTTTACGGATATTTTTTCCCCGTTTGTTCCACCTTGACAATAAGTAGTCAACATGTTTTACCAGATTACATGGGATGCATACTTATTCGAGGCATCTGGTCCCAACTCTGATGTTTTCAACAGGTATCTAATTCCTTTGTTTCCTATTCATACTGTTTAAATAGATTTTTAACTGATTACTATCTCAATATTTCTTATTTTACAATGTTTGAAAGAGGTTATATATAGATGTGATTCAAATTTTTAATTTTTTCAAAAAATCTCTCACCTATCCAATAGTTTTTGCTAGGATCCCCAAAGCCAGCTTTATATTCGTTCCAGGTTCTATAGAAATTTGTACTCCAATTCAGTCGTTTTTGAATTACCTTTTAATGAATACAATAAAAGATAAATACATTTATAAGATTACGTTGTATTATGATAGAAGTAATGTATTTAAAGAAAAGTTAAGTCTTAATCCCCCACCGTCCATCCCCCTCCCTCTGTAGTCATTGCCTGACGTCACGGCGTCAGGCTGTATAAGGATTGATATTTTCATAATCCGAAACTATGCGATCATACCTAGATAGCTAGATTTTATGCAAGCTGATTTACATTGGAATTCTTTACCTGCATTTTAAAAGAAACAGATTTCAGAAAAGAGAATGATATTACTGATGCAAAATACTGCAGTGTTTACTTCCTTTACTCTTTTTGCATTGAACAGATTATTCCATGTGATTCACCGTTTCAACATGTCCGTGCATCCTTTTTTCTGCATTTCTATACTACTGGATCAGTCCATTTACATTCTACGAAAGGGGTGAATCGCTATTTTCGCGCCAAATGTCACTGCTTTTTTCGCGCCTTTTCCTTGGATTGTTCTATTGTATGAATGGGTGTGCTAGCAAGTTCCATCGAATTAAATAAAGTTTATCCTTTTAACCTCCTTCTAATGCTTCAGAAATTCTCTCTACAAGTTAATGTTTTATCTCATTGTTTTAAACAACATATCGTATAATATATCAGTATGCGGACATACAACACTAAAGAAATGATTTTTCTAATTTGCTTCCCGATCCCGCGGTTGGTTTATTCCATAAATGGACTAGTCCAATAATAATAAACAACGCAGTTCAACAAGTCTTGTCTCCAGATGCATGATCTATTATGCGTCTCTGTTCAGATGCATACAATAAATAAGAAACAAATGCAAATCTGGGAATTTTATTTCCACAAAGGCCTAAGTATTGAATTTACTTATTTCATTCTCAATATATGATAGTGGCACTACCCCCCCCCCTTTTTTTTAAGAAAAAAAATTAATGAACACACATTACTGATGTTTACTTCAGTGGAGAAAATACACTTCAACAAAATGTGTACTAGTATTTCATTATATCCATCTTTAAAAATGTTGATAATGCGGCATGATTTGGTAACAGATTTTACAATGAAACTCGAAATCAATTTAGATCGAAGGGCAGATCACTCCACTTGCAGAACCCCCCCCCCCCACACACACACACACACACACTCAGAATAACAACTCTTTAGTATGCAGTGTAGAGATGATATTCTTCTAAAAGTTAAATAATATCAAGATTTCATTTACACAAGGTTCTCAAAATATAAAGTAAGGAAATATTTTAAACCGACAGTATTTCTCAAATAGTTTATCACTCCGCATGCAGATATTGATTGATTAAGTCAGGCAAGCTTTTTAAAAAGCTGTTACTTGTGTCACAGTAAACTTTCTTCTCTCGTTTTCTATCCGGATAAATTGTATATACACCATCCTTTCCTTTCCGACCCAGATTTTTCTTTAGTATGGTTGCACAGTCCCTATACTTAAATTGGGAAATGAAAATAATCTTAATTGTTGCATAATCGTTTGTGCTTATTTTGTTTAAAATTATAACGTGTGCACAGTCCCTATACTTAACTTGGGTAATGAAAATAATCTTAATTGTTGCATAATCGTTTGTGCTTATTTTGTTTAAAATTATAACGTGTGCAGTAGATATGCCGAATCGAACAATTTAATAAGCCATTATACAAATAATCGTATACCTTAGAAGAAAGAATTTAACAATTATTGTTGATATTGAATATCAATTTATTATTCCGAACTAGCATTTAAATTTCTGTGATACAAAGACCAAATACCCATATTTTAAAGACTTAATTTACCTTTCGAAATAAATTCATTGGACATTTTCGTCACTTTATATGTAGAGACAACATCCACTTTGAAGGAAACAGGATGCACAGTCTTAATATGGGATCCGGTCAAATTCCAAAACCAGCGGGAACGCTGTAGATGTTGATGAAGTTTTGCTGCAATATTTACACAAACAAATTGCTGAGATTACATTTCAAACAAATGATTATTTTAAAATAAAGCTGCAATATTTGAATGTTGGAGTTAAAAAAAATTTTCAAAAGTGTCTGTCAAACCAATACAAGTATTCTTGTCAGTTAGAAAACATATTAGTAACTTTAAGCTAACTAAAAAAAATCACTTTAGAGCTCAATCATCTCGTACCGCATTAGTCAAAGTGTGAAGCAAAGAAACGAGTCTCTTGTTTTATTTTATGCTGCACCAAATATGCCGTCTTAAGATTTTGCTTTTCTCTCACTCCCCCCCCCCCCCAAAAAAAAAAATAATCATCGACTTTTAATTTTTTTTCACAGCAGAAGTTATAAGCAAAGATGTACATATTTTACTGTTATTACTTAGAAAAGTTTAGGTATTTTCAAAATATATTACTCCATTAAGGTGAAAATACTTTTTCATGTACGACTAGTACTATCTCTTGCAAATCAAGCAGATAAAGTTCTTAAATATTGAAAAATAAAAATAAAATAAAATAAAATAAAAATATAAATACCTCACATTGAATTTTTTTCTAATTATGACTCACTGTAAACCAACTTTTATTCGCGTGCGAGAAATTTTCGCGAAGTTCGCGAGAGCCTCGTCATCGCGAATATTTCTCGCCGCGAACTGACCCTTAGAGTGTTATTTGTTTATAAATAACAGATCCAAAAAGGCTTGAGCGCGAAAATTAATCGTCGCAAACTAGTTTATCCATGCTGAATCGCGAAATAAAGTCGTCACGAATAAAAGTTGGTTTGCAGTATAAATTTTCAATATATAATTTAAATAGGCATAGTTTTTTTTTTTAATGAAAAAAAGTCTTTTTTTTTTAACTCATCCCTCCATAGTATAATGAAGATATCTTAGGTTAAAAACGAATAAAATTATAAAAAAATCAAGTTCTCTTAATATCAAATCATGATATACATAGTACATTCGTGTAAGCACAGAATTTCCAACCTACCAAGTCGAAAAAGGTGCGTTACTTTGCTATGCGTACTCTTTTTCTTACCAAAGCATTATCATAGTTTTGACAAGCTAAATTTTTAAGCTGGAACTTTGTAGAAGCTATATTACATAAAAACAACAAAACATGTAAAAATCAAGTAAAAGCATAAATGTAATGAAAATGTAACCGACAATACACAAAATTTTTTAATTATTTACCTTGAAATGACGGAGGAACTTCATCGCCATTCGAGTAAACCAATAAAACGACAACACACAAGCTTATCTGAATGAAAGACTTCATATTGCCCTTTACACGGTACATTCATAGGTGTTCTTTTATATACATAAGTTAAAAAAGGCAATATATTCATTATTTTGAAAAATGATACCCTTTTCATGCAAGAGAAATCGATTCTTTGATAAAACCAATAAACCATTACATTATTTGTATGTATATGTGTTTGTATATTCATTCTGATTAATAAAATATGCTAACCTCGGGAAAACTTTGCTTTATTTTTCATTTCTCTTGTAAACTAACTTTCCTATTAAAGGACATTGAAGTGTACGGATTTGTGCACAAAATATATAATTTCATTTGCATACATATGTATGGAAATTTTACGTGTGTATGTGTTTTATATATGAATACAATAAAGTTTTCTTTTACAAAGTTAATCGTACCAAGTATATATTGAGTGGTGGGCGTAGCTTAATCTGCATGACCTATACAAAACAAATTTAAAACCTGTCCAAAATAGAAGTGTACATTTTAGCTATTTAGAAATAAAATTTGCCAATTTATGTATTCCATGAAAATGAAACAAATGGAAATAACGAATATTTTTCAAGCTCAAAAGTCCTTAAACTAAATAATACAAAATGGGAGCAGAGCATACACGTATATAAATCAGACATGTAGAACGGGGTGAGGGTGCGCTTTAAATGTATTTCAATTTTCGACCATACCTTTACAGGTACAGAGTATCATTATTGTAGTGTGGGGCGGGGGGGGGGGGGGGGGGTGTTGTTGTCAGTAACAATTCAATAATATGGGGAATAAAGCTTATATCAAGCATTTCCATGAAATTTAAATAGTTAAAGGCCTTGAGTTTTGTTTTATATGAGGTCATTAAATGAATTAATATAAAGCACCAAAATTGACCTAAAAGAAGAACAATGAGAATCATAGAGATAACGAACAGTATTCAATCTCAAAAGTCCATTTAACAATCCAACATTGGAAAAGAGGACTTCCAAAACATCAGACGTTGGATCAGGAGCAATGGATGAGTGAGCACCCCCTGCTGACCTGTCACAACCGCTGTATACACCTTGTCATGATTGGGTAATATTAGAAAATTCCGTCGACAAGTAGGTGTGTAAATAATGGCCTTAAACAATTACAATAAAAAAAGTCAGTCTGCAATTGACTAAATGGTAAATTCTCGATAATCAATGACACTTATCCCTCCTCTGATGTTTTGGAGGTCCTTAATTGTTTGCTCTGCTCCTATTCTGTATTGTTTCTGGACTTCTCAACTTGAATATTGTTCTGTATCTCAAAATATATCATATAATCTAAATGATGTTCACAAATACATGTATGAGACCAGTTTCGTAGCGCTTTTCAAGAGCACCTTACAAAATGATGACTTTAAACGAAACAGCCAATATAACATAAATATAAAAAAAAAAAATAAAAAAGTAAATGATATGTTTTATTCTTTGGACGTCCTGTCCCTTCCCAAGGACAAAGAAAAAAGTTATGAAGTAATAAAAACAAAGGACAGAGAGGAGAAAAAAAACAACTTGCCCAACTACATTTACCAAACTACCAAATAGTTAATTTATAATTATCGCTAATTAAGACAACGAACAAGAAGTTGTTCGTAAATTGTTATAAACTCTACTGCATATATATAAAAAAAACATGGTTACTGTCTTGAAATATAAGCGATATTGGGCGAGGGTAAGAAAACGTGATAGAGGGCGAGGCTTGTCGAGCCCTCTTACGTTTTCAACCCGGGTCCAAATATCGCTTATATTTCAAGACAGTTATCATGTATTTTGTTTATCCTGCAACATATTTTTTACATTTGAATGTCCAAAACTAGCTTTTTTCGAAAGATTTAGGCACATCTCTGCAGAAGAAACTTAGACGCCATGGCGTAAACATTACAGTATTCGTGACGTCACAATGTTTTTAGAACGTCGGAATACATCCACAAGGCTTTATTAGGGCAGTGACCGAATAAGCTTTGGTATATTAGGTTACCTTTTTAAGGTCATTGCAAGGGGGGTTGCAGGATAAATATACTTATGTTTTGTCTCATTAAAATCGAGTAAACTAAGCTTAATTATGAAATGATTTCAATATCTTTTATCATGATGAATTTGCCGGTATCGCATAGTAAATTATGGTAAAGAATTTCATAATTGTATGCTTATTCAGCGAAATATTTAAAGGTTTCTTTTGTATGTGTGGATTTTAAACATGAACCCAAACATGAAATCGACGATGTCACGGATTCCGATCAGAAATTGATTTCTCCGAATTTGAAACTGGGTTTTTTTAGAGTCTCTACCGAGAAACGAATCAATAGAGGAGCCATTACGTAAGGGATATAGTAGGAAGATTAAGGCTAGAGTTTTTAATATATCTTTATTAGAATTTCTGGATTTACAAGCAAGGTAAGATTTTATTTTCAAGTATACCACTCAGTATGTAAGTTTAAATATTATAAAGTATTTGAAAAGCCTCTGCAGAAATGATATCAAGTTCCCTGTATTCATTCAATTTTTAAACGGTTAAAAATTTCGAAATTTTCGAAAATAAAAAATGCTGATCGATTGATAAACGGGATCCTGCTTCCATATAATTGAGTTCAAATAAACAATGTATTTAAAGGACCAGAGCGGCATATTTTTCATACTTAATGGTGAGGTATTCTGTTTACGCTTATAATGTTTAACTCATACCTTCTTCTTATGAAACCCTGACAACAGTTCGTATTAAGTAGACATGGTGCTTTACATACTCATGTCTACGGTATAATAATAAATCATGATCAATAAATCATTAACTATAAAACTTCGGTAAATTTTATGAGAGTTTATGTGAAAGCGAAATATGTCAACAAAAACTCTATACTGTCTAAGGGCTTATTATTTTGTTCTGTTTTTAAGATAGACGAAATCTTTAACGTTTTCATTTGAACTGGACTAGATTTGAACTAGACGTTTGAAAATACAAAATGGTTTATGACATTCTTTTAACGAAGACTAGGCTGAAATCTGGATATTTTACTTGAAAAAGACATTAATAGCAATCTCACAACAAAGCTCTATAAAAATAAATTTTCAATGGTCAACTTGCCATGATTATTATGCAGCAGTATAACTTCATCAACTGCAAACGGATTTTATATATGAAGGATATGGAGATAACGAACACCATTCAATATCAGGGTCCATAAAACAATACAAAATAGGGGCAGAACAAACACGGATCTCCGAAACATCAGAGGTGGGATAAGGTGCCGAGATATGGAGGAGTGAGAATCCCCTGCTGACCGGTCACACCCGCCGTGTGCCCCTGATCGAGAAATAACGGAAAACCCCGTCTACAATTCAATGTATAAATAATGGACTAACAATAAGTATGAAAAACGTCAGTCAACATTTGACTCAATGATAAATTGTATTTGCTGACAAGTTCATTGTATCGACCATAGAATTTACGAAATGATGACTTTAAAGAGGCTGTCGATATTATTGTTTTATCAAATTAATTGTAAATAATTTAGTTCGTTTTAGCATGCTCTCGCGTATCGAATCAACAGAGATATATATTACACTACTTATGATATATGCAGGTAATGAAGGTATATTTAATTTGCTACATAAGTAAGGGAAGTTGACGATAGAAAAGTGAAAGTCATCACGTTTATATTATAGCTTGGTTGTTAGATTACAATTAATTTCTTTTTCAAGCAAAATATCCAAGTATGAAACAGATGTGTCGGACTCGGTGGTATCTTTTATCTCAAGCTCACCAGGATGAATCGTATCAACGTATGAAAGGAATTACCATTGTTAATTGACAATACGTCGTCGATATATCTAAATGCATATGTCGAGTTGAAGGCCACAGCAAGTATTTTTTTTCTTTTCACGCATAAGAATTTGCACAAACTCTGCTTCATACAAATACAAAAAGGTCTGCTAATAACGGAGTGCAATTGGTACCCACGGAAATTCCAAAATATTTGTTGAAAGACAAAGTCTACAAAAACCAAATGAATATTGTTAATCAAAAAAAAAGTCATAAGTTTATAGGTTTTTTGGTCGATACAATGATCTTGTAAACATACACAATTATCATTTAGTCAAATACTGAGTGAATTTTAATGCCCCCGTAAACGAAGTTTCGGGGGTATATAGTTTTTGTCGTGTCTGTCTGTCTGTCTCTCTGTCTCTCTGTCTCTCTGTTTGTCTGTTTGTCCGCAAAAACTTTAACCTTGCCCATAACTTTTGATTTAGTGGAGCTATGACTTTCATATTTCATATGTGTATTCCTTGTGACAAGACCTTTCTTTGGGTACCACCAGATTTGACCTTTTGACCTTGACCTTGGAGTTTGACCTACTTTTCAAGAAAAATTTTAAAATTTTACTTTGGCCATATCTTTTGAACTGTAGACACCAGGACTTTTATATTTCACATATGTAATGTTTGTAGAAAGACCTTTCACTGGATACCAACAACCTTGACCCTTTGACCTTGACCTTGTAGATTTTCGTACTTGTGAAAAACTTTAACCTTGGCCATTTCTTTTAAACAGTAAGAAATAGGGCTTTTATACTTCATATATGTAATCCTTGTGAAAAGACCCTTCATTGGATATGAAGATCCTTGACCCTTTGACCTTTGAGATTGACCTACTTTAAAAAAGCAAACTTGACCATAACTTTTAAAGACTTAGGGCTAGTTCCTTTCATACTTTACATATTTGATCCTTATGACAAGACCTTTCATTTGATAACAATAACTTTGACCCTTTGACCTTGACCTTGGAGTTTGACCTACTTTTTAAGAAATTGAACGTTAACCATAACTTCTGAACGGTTAGGGCTAGGGCTTTCATGCTCTACATAAGTATTTTATGTGGCAAGACCTTTCATTTGATACTAATTACATTGACCTTTTGACCTTGACCTTGGAGATTTTTGTACTTATTAAAAACCTTTAACATTAGCTTACTTTCAAATTTCACAATTGTTTTCTAGTGAGAATACCCTAATTTTGGTACCAATTTAATTAAATTTGCATTTAATAAAAGCTTAATCTTTGCTATGTTGCCATACGGGGGCATCAGTGTTTTACAAACACATCTTGTTTTTATACTTTTTATTAGTCCATTATTTTACACCGAATAAACGACGGAATTTTCCCGTTATTTTTCTTTTATGACATGGAGCACACGGCAGGTTTGACCAGTTGCCAGGGGATGCACACTCCTCCTTGGCACCTGATCACATCTTTGATGTTTCATGTTAAAAATAACATTAAACTTGATGTGGGAATTTGAGTATTTCATTCGTTGACGACAATAAAAATACTGGATCAGGAAAGAAGATACGGCTTTTCCAATTATTGCAACGACTACATAAAAAATATGTGCACGCCAACACCCTCTTTCCAGGGCCGTACATCCTGCAAAACTGTCAAAAGGTTTCAGACAATAAGAAAGCCTTAAGGTGTGTATCGGTCATTTAGTAAGTTATAAGCCTTAAAGTTTCCATAATACCCGAAAAAAATGAACAGTTTTTGGATTATAAACATTCTAGAAATTCTGTAAAAGGACTGAAATTTCTGAAAAAATTACTAATTCAAACACTCTCGCTAGCGCCAAACCTGAACGCACACATATTGTATCTCACTGAAAATGCCTTAAGGTTTCATCTCAGGTTTACATGTCCAAAATTTATTTTTTACAATAAGTCCAAATCTATGTGGTTTATAATGTTAAATCTTTTACAGTTTATAAATATATCATCGATTAACAATGATTGTTAAGACAAGACCCCTATAAAATCCGCCATTTGCAACTTACATTAGGTTTCACATCTTAACATTTTGACAAAATATAGAGAGAAAACAACTTTCCAGAGGCTGTCGAAGTCCAACTTACCCTTTATTGATAAAGATACTAGTTTATTGTTTCTGTTACATGTCTTTCTCTAAAACTAACCAATGGATTAGGTTCATTTAAAATTATATCCATTTTTGAAAAGTTTTTTTTTCAATAAATAGTTTTTAAAGTATCTAATATCAAGAGATATGTTCTATCAGTTTATCAATGAAATATGCATAAACTGTAGAAGTTTTAACTTTTTAAACCACGCATAGATTTGAAGCTATTGTAAAAATTAATTTTTTGACATTTCATGAAAACTTAAAATTATATTCAACATAACTAGAAATACTTCAAAATATATATAATATTCACAGTTCTTTTTTATTATGCCCCCGTAAACGAAGTTTCGGGGGCATATAGTTTTTGTCGTGTCCGTCTGTCTGTCTGTCTCTCTGTCTGTTTGTCTGTTTGTCCGCAAAAACTTTAACCTTGCCCATAACTTTTGATTTAGTGGAGCTATGACTTTCATATTTTATATGTGTATTCCTTGTGACAAGACCTTTCTTTGGGTACTACCAAATTTTACCTTTTGACCTTGACCTTGGAGTTTGACCAACTTTTACATGAAACTTTTAAAATTTTACTTTGTCCATATCTTTTGAACTGTAGACACCAGGACATTTATACTTCAGGTATGTAATGTTTGTTAAAAGACCTTTCACTGGATAACAACAACTTTGACCTTTTGACCTTGACCTTGTAGATTTCCGTACTTGTGAAAAAACTTTAACCTTGGACATAACTTTTGTATGGTAAAGGATGGGGCTTTCATACTTCATACATGTAATTCTTGTGAAAAGACCTTTCATTGGATACCAAGAACTTTGACCCTTTGACCTTGACCTTTGAGATTGACCTACTTTAAAAAAGTAAACCTTGACTATAACTTTTAAAGAGTTAGGGCCAGTGCTTTCATACTTTACATATTTGATCCTTATGACAAGACCTTTTTTTGGGTACCACCAAATGTGACCTTTTGACCTTGACTTTGGAGTTTGACCCACTTTTACATGAAAATTTTAAAATTTTACTTTGGCCATATTTTTTGAACAGTAGATACCAGGACATTTATACTTCACATATGTAATGTTTGTAGAAAAGTTTGTGAAAAGACCTTTCACTGGATAACAACAACCTTGACCCTTTGACCTTGACCTTGTAGAATTCCTTACTTGTGAAAACCTTTAACCTTGGCCATAACTTTTGAACGGTAAGGGATAGGGCTTTCATGCTTCAGACATGTAATCCTTATGAGAAGGTCTTTCATTGGATACCAAGAACTTTGACCCTTTGACCTTGACCTTTGAGATTGACCTACTTTAAAAAAGCAAACCTTGACTATAACTTTTAAAGAGATAGGGCTAGTGCTTTCATACTTAACATATTTGATCATTATGACAAGACCTTTCATTTGATAGCAATAACATTGACCCTTTGACCTTGACCTTTGAGTTTTACCTACTTTTTAAGAAATTGAACGTTGACCATACCTTCTGAACGGTTAGGGCTAGGGCTTTCATGCTCTACAAAAGTATTTTATATGGCAAGACCTTTCATTTGATACTAATTACATTGACCTTTTGACCTTGACCCTGGAGATTTTTGTATTTAAAAAACTTTAACATTAGCTTACTTTCAAATTTCACAATTGTTTTCCAGTGAGAATACCCTACTTTTGATACTAATTAATTAAATTTGCATTTAAGAAAAGCTTAATCTTTGCTATGTTGCCATACGGGGGCATCAGTGTTTTACAAGCACATCTTATTTCAATTTGAAAAGAACAAAAAGTTATAGTTTCAGGATCATGCACAAATTAACTTAACTTCTCCGATCTACTTACACTGTGTCTGACACAATGGACTTCTCTGCCGTGAATTACCTAATAAATGTAGCTAGTGTTTGTAGGTATTTCTTATATTGACTTGGATGATGGATTCTGATGAATACAAGTTTCGGCCTAATAGGAAGTATCAGGGATTAGCAGTGGTGGTTGTAAACTTTACAAAGGAAAGAAGTGGCTCCGTACAGGAAATTATGCACCTTAGGATAACGTTCGAATTACTGGGATTTAAAGTTAAAATCTATACAGATCTCACCAAGAAAGAGTTTAACAAAGTAGTAGTCAAATGTAAGTAGTTTTGAATTTTCTTCCTTTTCAAATAATAATGTTCCACATTTTATGCAACCTATTAAAGATTCAAATTTATCTTAAAATTTATCAATCCCAATTAAATGTGCCATTTTGCATTACATCACTACCTATGATGACAGCTGTTCTAGAGATAAATAGCACACGCCTCCTAACCGCAAGTTTTATGACTGGTAGTTTCATCTTATATCTGATTGATCGCTCGTGCAACAGACTATTTTGTGTCAATGTTGATAAAATAAGTTGACCAATCACACAGCTGGGACTTGAATTGCTCACGCTAGGCGTGAAAAAGTTCGTGATGCAATGCGAAAAGGCACACTTCACTAGAATTGATAATCTAAATGATCAAAGGAATGTTAAGACATCCTTTCATATATCTGATATGAAAATTCTAAATTAAAAAGAAATAAAGAAAATATGTCATATGTAATTCAGGGTACATTTTTCTTGTAGATGCTACAGGTGATAAACTAAAAGATTATGACAGCTTTGTGTTTGCAGTCAGTACACATGGGTGTGAACAAGAGAAAGTTGAGAATGATATTGTAGTCCACCATCATGCCCTGCTAATGAATGACGGCCAATACTATTATACCTCCACAGTTCTGGAAAAGTTCAGGGACTGTAAAGCACTGGAAGCTAAACCAAAGATGTTCTTCGTCCAAGTAATAAAACTAATATACTTTTTTTCTCAGAGCACTTATGTATCTTTGATATTTTACAAGAAATTTTAAGAAAAATAGATGGCTTTGATGATAATCTCCGAGATCTTATATTGTTTTAAGCTGCCAACGACTCATAATGAAGCATACACCATATTCAATTTTAATGTCTACGACACCAGCACCAGGGTACATTCTTCACATTCATTACACTTGACTTTGTATCATGGGTATCGGCGTGGAATGTATTTGCGCTACTTATTTTGAATTACTGTTGTTTATTTATTTTATTGAAGTTACGTGTATTCATTTGTAAACTGCAGAAATCAATTGCTTTATTGCCAATTTTGATAAGTATTATTATCTTTTAATCAAGTACTCTTTGGAATCCTCTAAAGCATTGGAATCTTATTTTCGGATGCTTTGTTTTATGTATAAATATTATACAATTGATCTCTAAAGTTTAATTCTGCTATATTTGCTTGTTATAAGGGGGTATATAATAAATTTATCATTATAACAGTATCTTGATCCGAATTCGAAGAGTCGTATCACGTCTCGTTGACAGGCGCAAATCATCAGATCAAACTCGACGCTTCGTTACTGTTATAATAATATATATATTTATGTAGTCTACCGCCAAGTGACAAGATTTCGTGTGTTATATATTTGAACTTTCTAGATTCCCAATGGATTTCAAAAGAAAAAAAAAAACACTGAATGTTTATAGGGGTACGGTATAGCCTTTAAACTAATCTTAAGTACAGAACAAATCTATTTTAAAATTGAAAGGAACCTTTTATGAAAAAAAAAACAAAACAAAATAAGTCGCCAGGACCGGACATTACTGTTATTGCCCTGAAAGACAGCCAAGTGAAGTAAATAATCGAATCGATCAATTGAATTTGGAAACCTTCAATCATTTAGGGGTATTTTGTTTGTTGATAATGTTCTATATATTTTTTTTAAATTAAGAGAAAATTCATGTATGTACCTTACCTTTGCAAATTGCCTATTCATTTAGAAATGTACTTGTATTTTACTAATAAGATATGTTTCATTTATGGATATATTTCCTTTGAATTTCTTTGAAACGGAGGCCATAGCATTACTGTAGTTTCATGTGTTTTAGGCTTGTAGAATTCCTATAAGTAAGACTTCTGAAATATACAAGGCTCTGGGTTTTGGATTTTCTGAAGGTGTCACAGTGCATGTTGATCACGCGGAACCGCCTCAAAAGAAAAGAAAACCTGACAAGACGGATAATCAAGGTTAAGTTATTTTGAAAAGGGGGAACGCATCTTATAAATCACTTTGAATGGATTTTCTTTTACATAAATAGATGTTTCAAAAACAATGTTAATTTCAATATCATATGGACTTAAATTCAATGGCCTAAAAAGCGAAGGTTCAAAACAGAAAGATTACGTACATGTATACATTTTAAAGCGAAAATGAGAAGATTTTTTAGCAGAATTTATTTATCAAAAAACTTTTGAGAGGGTGTGGGAGAGGATGTGTGTTAGGTTTTTGTGTGAAATGCATTCCTGTAGATATAAATTTAAAGGAAAACTCTCTTTGTAGACTTAGATTCTGATCCAAAGAGTTTATCACCGATGGATACTAATGTTGCTGATACTGCAATGGTAGGTTTCTTATCACAGTCAATAACACGATAACTTCTGCTATAACTGTGCAACTTCAGAATTGCACTCCAGGGTTTGATGCTGTAAGAAACCAATAATCAAAAGCACATTTCTCTCGTGACTTTTTAGAATGCTAAGATACACTTCCTCAAAGGTTAAGGGCCACCAGTTTTAATGTAAAATTCAAAATATATTTTTTATCGAATATTTTCAGATGTTTTAGTTTATCGAACATTTGTTTATAATGTTACATCGGTATCTCTATTAAAACACATATTGACACTGCAAACACGCTGAGAAGCATATGGAATACCCATAAGCAGAAGCTCAGCTAGCAGAAGGCTAAACAATGACAGAATGCGATCACGTCTGTCTATGAAAGGTCTACTGTTATCCCCAGGACACAAAGGAGAAAGATTAGTTTGGGCAAAACAACATTGTGTGTTCAGATGAAAGTTTTTTTGCTATACCCTGTAGACGCCAGAGTTGGAGTTTCGAGACATCCAAATTCTGCATACAGACAGCAAATATATTGGGAACAAAGAACTGTTGTGGAGGTGATGAAGCAGAACGGCGATGTTTCCCTGGATCTATATATTCTTGATGGTATCATGACTGCGAAAAGGACGGGGATAACATTCTAAACCCATTATTTTTTACTCATTTGGATGATCAATCACTAGCAAGTCGGTCTGTGCTTAATGGTTAACAACACTATAAATCCAACCGAGCCCGAATAGTGACGGACTTTCTTCGACATGAAGTTTTTGAAACTTTACTTTGGCCCACCATGTATATGAACCCAAATTTGCATGTGCTTGGTAATCGTGGTCTAAGAATGAATGAGAGAACCCCAAGATGTAACAAGGCTTGAAAGATGCTATATCTAAGGAATGGCGACAGTTCCATCCAAATAAAACATTTACACAGCATGAGAAGGCGTTTAAAAGAACTCTTAAACAGCCATGATGGATATATAAACAACATTAGATATGCGTAACGAATGTTGAAAATTAATAACTCTATAAATGTCAATGAAACCTTATTAACCTTATTCCCAGCAATTTTGTAAAATCAAATTAAATTGAAACTTGGAATTCAACATTTTTTTCATGGATATATATATTGTTCATCAAAAGTTAACTGCATTAAAATGAATTAGTTAGCATATCAAAAAATGTTTCAAAAGTTTTCATAGAAAATTAAGGAGAATTTTAATTATTTGCTGTTTGTATGCAGAATTTTTGTAATAAAATAAGTCATGGTCGCTGACTTTTGAGTAAGTGTATATCAGAATCACCATAATGTAATCAAAGAAAAAAAATACATTTGCTTGAAAGTTTTTTTTTCTTAGTTGCAATTTTCATGATTATGGAGTCTATGTTAAAACGGTTCACCTTGAAACATAGATTTGATATTATAATATGTATTAATTATCCGAATATTCTATTTCATTTAGACAAGATGTCTTAAAATTATTTCAGAATATTATATCTTCATAATCTTGCGAAAATGGAACATGAGCAAAAAATCTTTCCTTTTTTATTAAGTTTTTCAAATGATTTTGTTTATACATAAAGCTACCAATATGGAAAATAATTACAATATCCATTCATATGTATAAAAAAAAACACGACTCAAATTCAAAAGGATTTTTTTTTCGACTTTAAATATATTTAACAGCTCTGCTCTAGCTTTTGTAGATTATCCCATTGTATTTAGGCATCTCGCTCTGGTGCCGATAAGAAAGGGGATACCAGGACTAGTTCTGAAAAGGCTTTATCAGACTCCCAAGCAGCAACAGAAATAATGGAATCGGGTGACAAAGCAGATACTCGGGAATCAGGTGACAAAACAGATACTCGGGAATCAGGTGACAAAACAGATACTCGGGAATCAGGTGACAAAACAGACGAATCCGGTGACGACGTAGACCCTGCTCGTGGCATTCGATATCTACCACCACAACCTGCACTCCACGTCACATCAGTTCCCTGTTACAATGATATGCTGATCGTGTTTGCTTCTCCTGCAGGTCAGACTACAAGTTATAGAAAATAATTACAATATTCATTCATATATATAAAAACACGACTCAAATTCAAAGGCAGTTTTTTTACCGACATCAACATGATCAATCAGTTAAAGTGTTTGCAAATGTTAAATTATGATGAGCAATATGACCATGTCTTACACTTCCTCCTTAACATGAAACAGTTAAAGTTTTTGCTAATGTTAATTTATGATGAGCAATATGTCCTCTATCAAAACTGAAACTAATGTCTCTGCTACAGAGTTTAGCCTCAAAATTAAGACTTAGATGCGCAATTACTGGAAAGCATTTATATGTCAAGCCTCTATCTAAATTTATAAAGTTCACACAGACACCACCACCCGAGACACCTCAACTTGACCGCTCTGTGGTTAAAGCAACAGTGTGGGGTCAAATGAGTCATTGATTACATTTTGTATTAGCAAATTTGAAAATCTTTATAACTCCTGCACATGTATCAGGATAATTGTTCACGGCATTTAATTGAGGAGGTTACCCTCTACAAAGATTTTTTTTTAATATTAACGTAGACAAGAGGACAATTCCCAAAGGGGGGGGGGCTCAATTGTTCATTTCATGAATTTTATTTTACTGTATATCGTATCCTCTTTTACTTCTGCACCCGGTGGCCAGCAGCACCTATGGACCTCTTGTTGAAACAAAATCAGATACTAGTATTTCATTCTTTTTCAGGACACTATGCATTTCGAAATACAATAACGGGCAGCTATTTGTGGAAATACTTATACGATTCCGTAATAACTGAGTACAATGGAGGTCGGCTAAACAAAAATAGAACCAACTTCCTGTATGTACTAAATGATGTAGCAGCCAGGATGTCCGCCACTGATTTCGGTGAAGGCGGGAAGTACAAAAATGTTACATGTTTTGTTCACAAACTCTCCAAAGATATCATTTTTTCAAAAGGAGAAAAAATGTGACGAAGTGTTATTTTGTCTGTGTGTTTTACAGATATTTGGAAGATACAAATTATTTTGTTTTAAATATAGTTCACCATTCCTGTATAATTCACTTTGAAATATTACTACTCATAAATGTATAAACTCTTTAACAGTTAAATAATTTTGATTATTTCATTAGAATGAATCCTTATTTAAGGGACATAAAAATATACGTATACATGGCAACGGGTGTTCGAGGTTCCAAATTCCATGTCATGCACGCATGCCTAGTTTTCATGAACGAAGTTAAGCATTTTAATAGAGGGAATCCCGGTATGCCTGCTACAATATCGACCAAAAGGATTTTAGTTTTCAATTTCAACAGGCATCTATTGGATTAGTCAATACATGGAAATCCTGTCTTATGACCATTTGATAAAAGCTCACCTCTAGAGACTAATGACGAAATGCCTTACTGTTTTTGTTGTAAACTTTCGTGTTTAACAAAGATACTGATCAATGTATATCAGCATATGTGTAGCTCAGTTCAAGTGAGGCAATTGCTCTTTTTTTGTTGTGCTACATGTGTCGTTGTGAACTTGTGATTATTTTCAGTTTCCTCTTTGGAACAACAATTCATTTTATCCAATTTTGGTACTTAGAAATTATGAGTAAAGGGAGCATATGTTGAACATTTCTTTGATTTCTTCATCCCTAGGGAATTATGGGCGGAACAAGAGCCATAAAATTAATACGAACTTCAAAATCACAATCTTTACTCCTTTATATTAGTCAATTTAAATGTTGACATGATTATAATGAGCAGAAACCCTATTCCAAACTGTGAAATTATGGCCTCAAGGTGCAAGCCCTAGGCTCCAGAATAGGGTTAGATAATCAAAGACTAGAAATACCTTTTGTCTTTTAAAGTCTTCTCCTCTATTCATTGACATCTATAAGGCAAAACATTGAATGATTATGATGTGCAATGAACATTCTATAAAAAGTTTGAAAATTGTACCTCTAGGGTTTAAGCTAAGGGGCTTTGTTGGTGCATAGTTTATTGAATATTTTTAAATGTATATTCAGCTTTGAAAATGTTCTCTCTATTGCAGCGAAGGTTACTCCAATGTTTTTATATTTAGCTTTCAGGTTGGATTATGTTGGTCATATATTGAAAAATTCGAATAACATTTAAAAATCTGCTTTGCTTCTCGGATCTCTATCCAAAACTGTTAAATTCAACACTCGTCTTACGTCATTTGGCAGATTGGTTTTCATGAAAAAAACATTTAAGAACATAGAAAATGAAAGATTGTAAATGAACGCAAGTTATCTAAAAAGATTTTAAAAATATTGTTTGCATGAAGTTTATTTACTTCTTAAAAAAACATTTGCATGTGGAAGGTTTCTCTATACTGATGGCCTTATCATCATTGTTGATCTTTTCAGTGCTTCGTTAAACCAGGTATACCACCTATTGTATCTTCCAGCACTTAATGCAGACTTAGTATAGATTCCGTTCAGATTGGAATATTGACAACTCTTATACTACCATCCTCCTTCAAATTCTGCCGCGCAATGATAACTGCTGAGATCATTGTCTTGGTCTTTTGTGGAAAATTTCATTCCATTGTGATAAAGAAGACTGTTTCCTGAAAGTATACGTCATTAAATAATAATCTTAAAAAGGAATAGCAGCATCTTACTGACAAAGAACGAGTGCACTTATGGTCCCCGGTAAAATGTGAAAAAATAAACAATTAAATTAAGCAAAATTTTTCATCTCAAATCATTAATTAATATCTAAACCATACGATTCAACAAATTTTACCGCTGAAATCCACGAATATACAAAGAACAAAACTATACAATGTGGTAGTGGTCAGCTGACATTTGTGATTTTCTTTAGTAAATCGAGAAAGGTCATTCATTTCAAAGCTTTTGTTAACTATGAGCCTAACGTTGTGCAAACTTGTGCGAATGACAAAAGACGCATAATACATTTATAAAACTTGTGTGAAAGTATGAAATTTGCACACGGTTAGACTCGTACTTAAAATATTAAAAATGTATAAAAAAAAAAAAGTACAATGTTTTTCCTATAGCAAGTGAGAGCTATATACCTGTATGACCCATGTTGAACCCATGTGTGGAATAAATTATTTAAAATACTGATAGTCACGTGAGTTCTACCTAGGTAAACATTCCTCAAAGGTGCTCACTGTAAAAAAATAGGCAGGTTTTGTTTCAGTAAGTCAAAGTCGTGCCGCTTAGAAATGTTTATATCAATTTGTTTTTTAGAACACGGGATGGTAAAGTAAGCTTAGTGTCAAACATTTTTAACCTTCATGCAAGCAAATTAATGAAACAGGTATTAAAAGCCACCTGTAACACTCCTTTTTAATTTCAAATTCAATGAAATTATTATTGTAATTTTTCAAATGCAAGGGAACCAATTTCTTAGTTTAATCATTTTAGCTATAGGCAACTACACAACTTCATTCAATATTTTTAAAAACAGGTTTGGCGCAAGAAGTATCATTCCGCAAACGCGCCCGACTATGATCATTAGCAGATTGTTCAAGTATGGATTTAAATATCTATTCCTCTTGATTTACATAAACGAAACTTAAAGAAGGTTCGGTACGACTTTTCCGGATTTATAGTGTAGCCATTGGCATTTAAAAATATTCAATTGTTTCAAATCCATGCTGATTTAAGTGGTGCTTAACATGCTTTTCAATTAGAAATATTCAATATTATCCAACTATTACCAATAGCGAACGATTTGGTAATAAATTCTGAAGTAAAATGGAACATAAAAAGGGCCCATTTAGTATTGGTTAAGTGCACTTGTCCTTTTAAAAAACTAACTTGGTCAGTGAGTGTTAAATTGTTCCTGGAGAAAGTGAAGCACTGACATTCTTACAGCATATTCCATAGTAAGAGAAAAAAAACAGATTACCTATCGAGCCACTGTGTCCAGACACACTGAGCTTGTATTAATTTTACTTCCTTCGTCACCAACAACAAAACTAGAGTACTTGGCGTACACTTTCTGTCCGTTAAATCTCTGGAGATTCACACGAAGCTTATGCTTTCCATTCTTTGTGAGTAAATGTAAAGCATCCCCATACGAAAATGTGTAGTTGACCGTCAACTAGTCGTCAACTGATAATGCGAAAACAGTTGACCACTCGGAGTTGAATGCTTTTCTGAAAATCGATCAGCTGATTTGCATAAAACGACCAGTTGACCATTAGTTGAATGCTAATACTTTGAAATTTCACGCAAAACAAGAGTTGACCACTAGTTGAACACTCCGACTTGTTAGAAAATTTCTCCCACGCTACATCCATGTTGGGTTCAAAATTACATTATCATAGATCGGGTTTGTTATATACCATAATTACAACAACCAAGATTTGAATCAGTACATGTGTGTTTTCTGTAGAAGGTAGGAATTTTGAATTGAAACATTATTGTCTTTGTGATGATTCAGCGTGTGAAATATCTCAGGTACTTTTGTAAGTATATAAAATTTAAAGATTTGTTTTACTAAGCTTGTTATTTTTAAACACATAATAGGAATACAAAAAACTGTAGCCAGTACTCGTATGTCCCTATTTTTGTGTACTTTTTTAAATATTGAAAGAATTCTGAAAACTTTTCATGCATCAAGTGTTTTGTTGTGTTTCTTGTTGTGTTGCTAAAACTATACATTGCTTTAGATTAATTCTATATATAACCTTTTCTGCACAGAAAACGAAGAAAGCATGTTCAACTTATGAGAGTGTGCAAGCTCAATTCATTTATAATGCATTTAGATTCATATGTACATTTACGTCAATTTAGAAACTCCACGGTTTTGACATGACATATTTTCAAGAACACTGCTGGTCTTAGATTTCAATTATCCCTCCATTTTTTTCAAATATTTAATGAATGCAACCTCCGTGCACGGACTAATAGAGTATTCAACTAGCGGTCAACTGCAAAGGAAATAGAGGAGTATTCAACTAGCGGTCAACTGCAAAGGAAATAGTCTAAAGGAGTATTCAACTAGTGGTCAACTGTAAAGGAAATGGAGGAGAATTCAACTAGTGGTCAACTACAAAGAAAATAGTGGAGTATTCAACTAGCGGTCAACTGCAAAGGAAATAGTGGAGTATTCAACTTGCGGTCAACTGTAAAAGAAATAGAGGAGTACTCAACTAGCAGTCAACTGCAAAGGAAATAGAGGAGTATTCAACTAGCGGTCAACTGCAAAGGAAATAGAGGAGCATTCAACAGTGGTCTACTCTATGCAATTGAGTTGATCACTTATTTGCAGTAAAATGTAAAGATAAAGGGCAGTGATTGTCTTATGAAATCAATTAAAATAAAACAAATGGTGAGCAGAGCCAAAATGGACCTCTGAAAATGGAAGTGGATTCATTTGCCATATAAGAGAAAATAGCTCCTGTGGCTAGTCATATCTGCGTTTGGTTTCCTAATATCATGATCGCACCAATGAAATTAAAAATGTAGAAAATTTAGGAAGAAATAAAGAGTTAATTTTTTTGGAAGAAAAGTCAGCATGCGACTCAAAGACGGATAAAATACAGTATACAAATAAGGTAATTTAATCAATTATAGAATTTGAAAAAATTTTACTAAAGACAAGATTGATGATATTTTTGTTAATTTAATTTAGTGATGACTGTAACGTTGATATTTGTCCAAGGTTGAAAATTGACCAGGGGGATACTGAGGCCCAAGATGTTGAATTTAGACCCTAGTCCGTTGAAATCTGAGCAGGTTCGTGGAATTTTGATCATGAACCGGTTCTAAATTCAACAGCATAAAACATGTTTATGACTTGCTTTTCACAACTGTGATTTAATCCATAAGCGTCGGGAGGGGGTTAGGGATGCTTTAGAAAATTTGAATTCGGCAATTTTAGTACAGCGCACAAGCTTAACAGTATAATAATTGTCATTTTGGTCTATACTAGGTAAATAATAACTTTAATTTTATATAGTAAGTTGTAAATGCAATATCTTCATTATTGTGAAATTGGATACTCGTCTCATGTCGTGAAAATTAATTCTTTGATGCAAACAAAATACTCACATTTCATACTTAAACAGTTTATTTGGTAAAAATTGTTTTACACCATTGTTTCGAGGTGAAAGAAGTGAATAAGACAAAATTCAATACTCGTAACTTTTATAATTATACTCTGACGTAAGTTGAATATTATTATACCCCCGCTTGAAAAGTGGGAGG